TGACAGCTTCCTTGTCCGAAGCTCCTGCGATTGATGACCGATCGGCTTCATGAAGCATCGCAATCTCCTGGCCAACACTAGGGTATGCGAGCCCTGATGCTACAGGTGAGACACTGGCAGGTGTACCGTCGTCTTTCTGAATCACAATCGATCAAGCACCATGCCATATGCCCGGTCTTCCATATGATAGGGTTGCTACATGTTGGGCTTGTTGGCCTAACTCATCAGATGTGCCAAGAGGCCCCACCGCATGTAAGACAACCGCCGGATCATCGATGCCTCCTAGGGTTTGTATCCCCGCTCTCGCCTATGGATGTTCCCAAGCATCGTCGTTCAAGTGTCTATATTTCTATCAAACAGCACGACTGCTGCCTCTGCCTCTCAAATATGACTAGCCTATACATTGTAGTTCTCTATTGCTTTTCCAACATCACAACTTGACTGCCATAGTCACCCTTGAAGGGGAATTGCAGACCAATGTTCATCAAGGTTCCACCAGAGTAAACCACACCTTCGTCAATCTTATAGGAAGCCTGCGCGTCCAATCCCTGTAGCCTAACGCGCGGCCATGAATGATCAATATTGGGAGAGAGCTGGAAGACAAACAACACAGCCTTCTGACCATCCTCAGCGATGAACAAAACAGCAGGCCAATTCGAATCCTCTGGGAGGCTCAACCGCCACATATCACCAGTAAGAACAATGGGATTCACCTTCTCAGCGAGAGCAATGAGCCCCGGCAGAGCCGCCTTCTCCTCTTCGGGGACCTCAGCCGGATTGAGTTCCAAGCCAAATGAGCCGCCCATCATGGCCACATGTCCGCGGAAAGTCACGGGGACTGTGCGGCCAGTCTGCTGGTTCGGAACTTCGGACAGGTGAGCACCCATCGCGCTGGGCGGGTAGACGAGGGAAGTACCCAGTTGAATGGAGATGCGATCCACAGCGTCTGTGTTGTCCGAAGTCCAGATCTGCGGGAAATACTGCAGAACACCTGGGTCGAAACGGCCTCCGCCCGAGGCACAACCCTCCCAGAGAACATCGGGGAATTGGGTTGTAAGCTCATCGAAAACGCGGTACATGCCGAGCATGTAGGCGTGGTTTGTGGATGGGGAAGGCATCTCATGAATGCCCCTGTTGTTATCCCACTTGACGTAAGTAATATCTGCACTATTGAGGATGTCTGAGACGGATTTGATGATATAATCTTGGACTTCAGGAAGAGCGAGGTTCAGCACGAGCTGGTTGCGTCTTTCGGTGCGGGGGTAGGGTCCTGCGTGCAAGGCCCAGTCCGGGTGCTCGTTATACAGAGTCGAGTTCGGACTGACCATTTCCGGCTCGAACCAAATACCGAAACGCAACTTCTCTGACGAGTTAGCGACATTCAGGTCGGTGATCTTCTTCACAATCGGCTCCAGACCGTCTGGGAACCGGTCAGGGTTTGGGGTCCAGTCGCCCAGTCCCGTCTCGTCGGAAAGACGGGGGTACTCCTTGCCGAACCAACCATCATCCAGAACGAAGAGCTTGGCTCCTACTTCGGCGGCTTCCTTTGCCAGATCGTAGATAGTGCTCTGGTTGTAAGTGAAAACCAGTCCTTCCCAACTATTCAGCAACGTAGGACGGTCACTAGTGGCAAACTTGCTCTTGATGAGATGGTTGCGGTACAAGCGATGCAGGGAGCGTGACATTCCACCGAGGCCATCCTTGGAGTATACGGAGACACACTCCGGGGAGGTAAGAGTCTCCCCGGGCGACAGAGTCCACGAGAGCTGGCCAGGGTTGAAACCCAAAAGAGCACGCGTGAAGCCCTGTGAGCCTTTCTCGACGCTCACTGAGAATGAACCAGTATACACAAGCGAGAATCCCCATACCTCTCCGTGAGACTCGGTGGCAGAGGGCTCTGCCAATGCTAGGAAAGGATTATGCTGGTGAGAGGAGTAGCCAGTGGAACTTCCAAAGCTTTGGATGCCGTATGTAATCCTTTCCCTCTCGCGATGCGCTTCTCTTGCCCAATCTCCACGAAGGCTAATCATGTCCAACTCTTCGAATGGCAGATCCACGCTCAGACTGGCTAGAGTCTCGATTGTGATATTTTCCTTTCCATGGTTTGTAACATTCACGCTGCGCACAATGGCATCGTGTTTGGGGAAAATCGAATACGAGAGGTCCGCGCCCACATCGCTGTACTTGTCATATAAACTGATGACCAAGGTGCTAACATCTTCCTCTGTGCCAAATGTACTTGGCAACCCAGGCAGGGCAGGCTTGCCTGGGATGACCTTGTGCGATTTGTACTGGAATTCAGACACGGTATAACCAGCTGACTGACGAATGCGAATGGCAGGGATTCGGAAATCCCCTCGGCCTTGGTCTGGGAACTCACGGCGGACACGTCCTATGTGACTATCCCAGCCATTGACCTCGCCTACAGCTTCCAGGGGGATATCAGCTCCGACGGGGCCGCCGAAGTGGTCTCCTAGGAGATCACCAGTGGCGTTGTCCACATGAATGCGATACGAAACATTTTCTCCATTGAGGGCAAAGAAAGTACCATCTGCCACAATTGCTATACAATATATATGGTCAGATTTGGTATTAGAAAAGAACAGAAGTAAAACTCACGCTTTGCGCTTGATTCCTTGGCCATAGCGGCAGAGGAATATGCAAGGAGACCAAGGCCTGCGGCCACAACACCCCTTGATAATTGGACCATTTTAGCTGTGCTTTCAATTCAAATCAATCCAGAACCTGGGAAACACATACCTTTTTATATCTTTTACCCCGGTGGGTAGGTTACACCAAAGGGGTATTGGCTATGTAGATCTCAAAAAAGCAGAGGCCTTGCAATAGACTTCTACTGTCTATAACTAGCGAAATGTCGATCAACAAAACTTCGGCGATACTCATAGTATATGTATAAGCTGGAGATTAATATTGTGGAGTCGAAATGCGGAGGAAACCCCGGGGATACTCCGTGTCGTAGGCGGTTTTGAACGTCGTTCATTGGTTTTGGACTTTTCAATTCCGACGCAGTCTGATAACTCCTCAATCTCGTCAATGATCTAACAAGTGACCTTCTTTATTTGGAAGGAGGATGAGACTAGCAAAGGCCTGTTCAATATGCCGGTGGGTAATTCATTCCCCGTCCCCCACCAACCTCGTACTCATCCACTTAAGTGAACGTCGACGAAAATGCGAAATCCCGGCACCCGGTCGCTCATGTGTCTATTGCTCTGCCCGAAATTTAGCATGTACTCGGAAACAGCTCTCCGTGCCGAAAAAAACTTCTATACCAGAAGAAAAAACTGTCGGGAATGTGTCACTACCTGAAAAATGCACTTTGCCAGATCTACAACTCCGCACTGAACTGGTGAAGCTGTATTTTGATTATGTGCATGATAAATTCCATTCTCTCTTCCATCGGCCAAGTCTGATGGAAGACATACGTCGGGGTCAAGCGCCCGAGAACGTAATATACGGGATGCTCGCATTATCGGCACGGTATGCCTCTTCTACTCGGCCCGAGTGAAAACTGAATCTGACTCGGGTAGGTTTTCAAAACACTCTTTCTTTGCTGAAACAGATCCTCGAGAAAGAGGGAAAGATTATGCCAAAAGATGTGAGCAATTGCTCAATTTGAATGATGTCTCTTTGACAACAATCCAAGTTTGTGTTTTGCTCGGCGCCATTGCTGTAGTAGATGGAAGAAACCCTGCTTCGGAGACTATCTACTACTCAATTGCATGTCGTATTGCCCAACTTCTTGATCTCCCAAACTGCGATGCTTCGAGTCGTGTGGAAAAAGAAGTAAACATAAGAGGTTCGCACCGAAACACCTGAAGATACCCAACACTCTCTGACATCCAACACAGTATGGTGGACGCTTTGTATGATAGACGTCTGGTCCTCAACAGGAGTCCGACTCCCACGTCTAATGATCCCCCAACCAAATATTCCTCTCCCAATGAACGAAGCAACCTTCCTCGCCATGACCCGCACCGAAGGCTTCACAGTATCAATCTCAACCGACCGCACCTCATCCCTCTTAGCACAAATGGTCCTCCTAAATCGAATCCTCTCAGAAATCAACGACTTCAACACCAAAGCTGCCACAACAACCCTCACCGAAGAATATATAACAGCAACCATCTCAACTCTCTCCACCGACCTCTCCACCTGGCTCAAAAACCTACCCGCACACATGCACGACACACCCTCCAACCTCCAAGCCTACGCCTCCCAAGGCCAAGGCCACCTCTTCGTAACCCTCTACCTAGGCTATTATAACTACGGCCAAATGCTATTCTACCGCTTCCTACACGAAGACATCCGAGGCTACACGCCACGCACGCACTTCTACGCACAGCAATGCAAAAAGCACGCCGTGCGACTCTGCGAGATGATCTACCGCTCCGAGGAAGTACCCGGATGTGCCGTGCTGTACAATATGGTCGGCCATGTGCTTGTTATCGCGTCGACAGTGCAGATCCATACGTTGCTTTTCGGTGATGGGGAGAGTGTTGTGAGAGCGAGGGCGAGGCTCGAGAGGAATTTTGTTATTCTGACTAAACTACGTGCGCTTTGGCCTACGCTTGACGTTTGTATGGAACGCTTGCAGGCTTTTCATCGGGCTTGTCGGAGCTCAGTTGATACTAGTTTCTGTATGGATGGGTGGATGGTGAGATTTTTGGTTGAGTTTGCTAATCCGGTTAGGGATAAGGATGGGGGTGGGGGTGTGGAAGTGCCTTGGGCTTTGGAAGAGATTGGGATTTGTTAGCTGTCAGCTATAGATATGTAGCAATGAGGTGGTTGTTGACTGTGAGATTGAGGTATAGTTGAAGCTAGGCGGTGACGAGAGCGGTCAATATATATATCGTGTGTTTCATCCATGATATATGCCCCTGATAAATTCAATTAAGCAGCCCCGACTTTCGAGATACCAGACATATTTGTTACTGGATAATATCACATGGAAGACAGAAATAAAAATATCGTGGACTATAATGAAAGTTTACGCAAGGTATATATCGCACAATACAACCATAAAAAGCAGGAATAACACACAAGATAGATATCAAACAGTCTTGAAAATGCTCTCAAAACCTTTGGACCCTCCTCAAGGCAGTACCAAACCATACTTGAAATGTTGAAAGAATGTCTCCGGGATATTGAGAACGAAAGCCAAAAGCAAAGCAAAGCCCAGGTGGTTGATGCAGACATGCTAAGCATTGCCATGGGATTCTTAGAAATTGGGAAATAAGCTGCTGCACATATATGTAATATAATAACAAAGACCTTGAGCAAGGGAAGAGAGAAATGATAAAAGCATGTATGTATATAAGACAAAAAAGGGATCCCTATAGTCCAATACAAAAGGTACGCCCGTCAGAAGTGGATTTGAATATTCATGGATGTACCCTTGTTCATTGAATTTCTGGACGATATATGTTATTGGGCATGGTTGAAGGGATTTTACATTCCAAAATGATAATATGTGTAGCCAAGAGGATAGATGATTCCGGATTCCTAAATCCTTAGATCCAGGGTACATGAATACATTGTATCACCATTGGGACAGATGCATGACTGATCCAATATGCGGAAATAATCGCCAAATGTCCAAACATGACCAAATGCATGTATGCGGTGGGGAGACACCCAGAAGTCAAGAGTCAGGGCAACACTCAACTTCCCCAAATCTCTAAACAGCCCAAACACCCCATCCCCGTTCTGTCCAGAGACAAATAAACAGCCACCCTTCCAGGAATGCCATGCAACCAACTCCAAAATGTATGCAATCGTAAGACATGTCATAATATAGCGTGGTTGCGGAGGGGAGCCTCCAACCTCCGCACCCGCCGGGGCATCAAAAGTAACGGCAGCCGTCCCCGTTCATGGGTTACCGTTCAGGAGCTCCGGTATCAAGACGGGGGGATTTATTAAATAAGTTCATCGTTGTAACCGTGAAGAGTTGGATCGTGTTCCATATCAGTCGATCAATGGCTTCTTCTGATTGCCGACAATAGCGGCGCCTATATGGCTGAGGGCATTGTGGTCGTTTGGTCGTACAATTGCTGGAAGAGGCAGCATGGGGTTGTCTGGGTTGACGTGGGCGGCGTCTCGTGCAGCTTGCTCGATTGCTTCCATTTCTTCTTTGCAGCCGGCGTGGTCGAGAGGGCAGACCACGATTGGTTGTCGAATGGTAATGTCTCTTGCAGAGGTTAAGTGGGCCTGTTATGTGTGAGCATTGGGAAGATATACTATGAAACTAGGGAAGAACGAACTCGAACTGTGAGGTAATACTCGATTTTATATAGACTTGCTGTGGTTGTGAAGCCGCTCACGCCGTACGTTGGAAATCCCGTCCTACTTCTCGGCAAGATCCCTTCTGTGTCGCGGAGGTCCTTGGCGGGGAATACCAACCCCAGGTTTGTTAAATAGCCTGATTGGGGTAGTTTAACACCGATGGTCTCCGTTTTCTTGGCTAGAACTTTGACTTTGCGCTGGGGCTCATCGCCTTCGTGGTTGTAGACGATTTCCTCGTCGATGCCGATGGTGATCTTGCTGATGGTCACTTTACGCGCCTTGCCCATCCAGCTCTCGTTCGGGGAAAGTTTGACATAGACGCTGACGGGATCGAGAGGACCGTAAGACCACCGTGGTAGTGAGATGGCTAATGTGACCAGATGATCTGATACGCGCTCCGCCGATTCCGGACGATTGTACATGCCGAATGTGGAGAGTGTGTCGTAGCGGGCGATGGGGACGGGGAATGTGTATTTGTGCTGCTGCTGCTGTCCTTGCTGGACCATCACCACCATCTCGTAGTATGTTTCAGCGGTGCGACTCGGGAGCTGTACACTAGCTGGGGGTACACGGCGAGAGGCATCGCGGCCCCCACGACCAAATGGAATAAAGAGAACGAAGGGCAGATCCATAGATATTACTTCTTCGTATTCTCGGCCGGCGGGACATCGAAATAGGAGCATCTCTTTGCCGACGATATCGGTGATCTCTTTCCGCGGCGGAGCCAGTCGCTTCTTTGTGAGGGAGTCGGCCGAAGGGTGAATTGTCTCGCGGCGGAGGAGGGAAATAGTAACGAGCGAGACGTTGACCGGAGCTGTAATTCCGACACAGGGTCTGATTTCAACTTTGCCCTCAATTCGTGGCTTGGATAGTCAGTCAATGGGGTCGCGCTGAGCAGGGGGCCAAACCGGCTTGTCGCATGTATCGCAGGGCGCTTACCATGGTCGCAGAAATTCCTGGGTATCCGATCAGGAAATTGCCATTCGCTGGGCCTGATACGCGCACAAAGGCGGCCATCTCGAGTCAGCCGTGCCTGTCGCACCATAGATATGCGGAGGTTGGGCGAGTTGTGGGGAATATGCGAGTGGACGTGTGGCACGGTTCATAAGGGTTCGACGGTGGGTTGGGTAGAGTGCATGAACATATAGATATCTTGAATAATGTCGAAGGCTAAAAGAGGTAAATGCCCAAAGGTCTCGATGTCTAGAGGTTCCAGGTAGGGAGAAGTGAAGGAGCTGAGCTTCCTAAAAGGTAGTGGGGAAAGGTGAATTTAGCCCCCCAACAGCCACAATTTACTTGAGCCTCTGGTTTAGCTCTTCTATTCTATTAAATGGCCTTAGAATATTTATATATATATATATATATATATATATATGAACTATATAAGAATCTAATAGGTCACAGATCTCTACCCAAGACGTAATAATGCCTTTATCGATACACGTCCAGTTTCCAATGTCTATGTCATCATCGTCATCACACATTAAATTATGTACCTTGAATACAACAATATATTAGTAGGTACATACACAGTATGTAAATAGGTATTATATAGATCTAAATATAAATTGCCCAACCATGGCCTGGATTCCGGACCTTGGGAAGATTTCCTAAGATTTGGTTGCCAGTGCAACCATGACATCGCCTCCGTCTCCACCTAACTTCTACATCCACACATCACTACAACGACATCACTTTACAGCATTATGCCTCGTCGCGCAGCAAATACCCGGTCGCAGTCGACACTGTCCTTTGGAGCTCAGGGCCGAGTCACCAAACCAGTCACCGCGCCATCTCATAAAGCCAAAGCCCTCGACTCAACTCCATTATCCGACAACTCTGCTCCCGCCACCCCGGAGCCCCAGCAGCTCCCCGTCACCCCAAACGAACCCTCCAAGCCCCACGTCGCAGAGTTAGCGGTGCGACAGCAAGCGGCAGTCGAACACAAAACTCCCCCATCGGAAGAGGACAAGCGGGCACTGAAGTTGAACAAGCAGGATATCTGGCGATACTGGCGGGCGCAAGAGCAGTCCCGCAAGACACCCAGTGGTAGGTCGAGTTTGCCAGGGTATTAGCATGAATCAAGAGGCTGACTCAAACTATAGCCCACCAGCAAGGCATGGACGTAGAGGAAAAGATTCTCCGTCATTTTGACCTTTCCAGCCAATACGGGGTATGTTGTCCGGGTCTCCGAGAGTTCTTTATAAAGAAGTCATCTAACATAATGTCTTTTCTTTTGTTAGCCCTGCGTTGGAATCGCTCGAGTCAAGCGCTGGAGACGGGCTAATCAGCTGAAGCTCAACCCGCCCATCGAAGTCCTGGCGGTTCTTCTCAAGGGGAAGAACACAAAGGAGCGAGCATATATTGACGAATTGTTATCCTGAGGACATATTGTGATTTGAATTGGCGTTGACGGACTTGCATGGATTGGGCGTTGGGATTAATGAGATATGAATGGCATATGGGTACTCCGTATTCCGAGGTTTCAAAGGTTCAAATGTTGTAAAATTGAATGAAAGAGCAACTTCTACCTTCACGCGAATCTGTGGAGACTTCCATGTGAGCCGACCGAGGAGATTTCCATTGTCTCAGGCAAATTGAACCCAGAGGACAATTTCCGCTTATAAGCCGTATACGTCTATAATACGATAGAATGCCCGATGGAGGCGTCGTCGATCCTCATTTTAAGTTGTCATCTGGAAAGGGTCTTGCCGGGTCGTGTCTATATTTATACGGGAGAGATTAAAAGACCAGGATGTGAAATGTCTTCGAATTTAGGTCCGTGGTATCCCCGGATTCAGACAATGGGTCTGTCCGGGGACCCCGCGATATTGGATATTGGGCGATATTTGCTTTTTCTCTTGAATCCTCTCTACATGTGAAGTAGTATAAGTCTATATACTACATAAAATATACGAAATAAATATAGGTATTATCATAATGTTTACGGAGTACTGCAAGGGTCTTTCGCCTCTACATGTAGTCATTCTACTGGAATGAAGTCTAAACCTAATGTAGATGTCTCACCCGGCCGGTGCGCCTTTTTTCCCTCAGCATAGCGCCCATTGGGAGAGATCAAGGTGCCCTTGGTAATCAAATATCATTAATACGTCCTTTGCCATAACCAGCCCCCAAAAGACCAAAAGACTTGGCCGATAAGGCTAGACTTTCTGATGAATATAGCAGAAATGGCTTTGATAGGAAGATATGAGATTTGTCTTCAATTTATTTCAGTATGGTAAATTTTGAGATTGTGTCCAAAGTTGCTAGGATATGCCTACAGGTGTTTTTGAAATATTAACAAGCCCAGTAGCGTACCTAGTATATATCGTAGGAACCTATTTCCTTCCCATACCAAAATCCTCGGTGGCAAGTACATGTGACCGGTGCTTTTTGTTCCTGATTCTGATTTTCCTGATCTGGTTGACCCCAAACCCCACGCTACGAATGAATACTAGTGTACTCCGTACTTGGCACTGTGTCGAGGTCAAAGACAAAGCATTTGGTCCAGTCGACTGGGCCCACCCCCGCTAAATGTCTCACTTGTATGTGGACCCTTTTCGAGTTTCTCATATGTCGGTCCGAATATCCTGGTGAAAAACCAAATGATTGACTCACATCTTGAATCTGTTGGATATGATCGCCGTATGCAGGTACGATAATCTCACCGAGTTATATCTCTCGGCCAACATCTAACCTTGTATCGCGGGATATATCAAATGACTAGGTATTAAGTCCAATGAAACTCTAAGGGGTGTCTTTGAGATCTTTATCCGAGCTACAACGTTGTACAATATACAGACTTATATACAGGGTTGATCTGAGTTTTGACCGTTACTATTGAGAAAGTGAAGCTGTGTGTTACCCCAAGCAATTTCACTGTACGAAGTAATAATGTTATTATATATTAATTGTGCAGGCATCTCGGAGCAAGTCCTAATTTGGTATAGTTCAATACTACGCTCACACTCGGGCCCTGCCGCGGGCTGCCGGGGTTCAAATCTTCCCCGGATTTTCTTCGATACATGGGGTTTGCCACTTCTTTTTCTCCCATTTTTCCCATTTTTCAGTCCCGATTTTACAATACGATTTTCTTTTTACTAGCTCACACAAGGTTCTGGACAGGAATGCAATGGAGACGCTGCACAACCAATGCTACATGTACTGCTCCATGTACTGCAACCTATACTTCGAGCTCGTACTCCGTACTCCGTACTCCAGGGCACTAAGAGTCTAGCCTGACATAGCCTGACACAGTGGAAATTAAAGTCAGTAACCGGTCGGCCGTGCGACTAGCAAATGATTGTACATTGCCACTGGTCCAGCCTTTCCGGTGGCTTCCTCGTTCGTCCTGGGCTAGTCTGGACTTGGCAATGCGGGCATACGTACACCGTGCGAGACAACCCATCACTCCAAAGGTCGGCTGCGGGAACCCAGGATCCGGCGTACGCCTCCAGACTTGGCCGTGCAATCAGCGTTCAGGGTTTCAATTCGTGGTAATTACGATCTGAATTCAACCGCGGCCTTGGCCTGCTTTTCGGTGGATTGCCTCCCATTAAGCATGCGGAGACATGTGATGGTCCCATAGTGTTTTGGTGCAACCCTGCGGGTTTCTCCATGGAAGAGTAGTTGAAGGCAAAGCTTATAAAAAGGCCTTCACCCATCCAAGTCCAGACCTTGCTTCTCAATTCATCCGCATTCGCTATACATACTTAACTGTCTTTTCCGGCACATTCATATCTTTTATTTTTTTAGTCTCATCAATATGAAGTTCTCCACCACTCTGATTGCCTTTGTTGCCGCCGGCCTCGCCAGCGCCCAGCTGCCCGATGTGCCCGCCTGCTCGGTACGGACAATAATGATGCTCCATATCACAAGAATATAATCTAACACTTACCTCTAGTTGAGCTGCTTCCTCTCTGCTCTCCAGAGCGATGGTTGCTCCGAGCTCCTCGACTTCGAGTGCCACTGCAAGAAGACCGAGCTCGTGACCAGCATCACCCCCTGTGTTGAGAAGGCTTGCGAGTACGAGGACCGTATCTGTATGTTAACACTCCACCTGCTCTTCCCAATGATCCCACCCACTAACCCACACATCCAGCCGTCTCCAACGCCGTCGTTGACCAGTGCTCTTCCGCCGGTGAACCCATCTCGATCCCTCCCATCGAGACCGGCGCTGAGACCACCACTGCTGCCGAGACCACCAAGACTCCCACCGCCCCCGAGACCACCACCGCTGAGCCCACCGAGTCTGCCAGCTCCAGCGCCACCCCCAGCGAGGTTGAGAGCTCCACCACCACCGCTGCTGCCGGTACCACCACCGCTGGATCCAACCCCGTTGGCTCCTCCTCCGGTGTTGCCACCTCCACCCCTCTGGTGACCAAGACCGGCTCTGCCCCTGCCTCTTCCTCTTCCCCCGCCTTCAACGGCGCTGGCAGTGTCAAGGGCAACATGGCTGGTGTTGCTGCTCTTGCCGCCGCTGCCGCTTACGTCCTGTAAATATATCTATACCTAATCTGAGGCTGTTGTCGGTGTCTGCGACTGGCTCATGTTGGCAGGTGGGATTTGCTTCCTTTTTTGCTAGCTGGGTTGGTTGTTCGAGACACCTGAATGGGTCACCTCCCTGTATAGTCTGATAGTTTGACATGCTTAATACAATGCACGTCTTGTTTTTCCCTGTTGGGTAAAACGGATGTTTATGATTTGATCTTTCTGTCTGCTTGTGCCTCGTAGTCAAAGTTCGTAGATATATATATAAAAGCCTACATTAATTGACAATATAATTAATTGACAATATAAGGGAATAGAGTTCGGTGTCATCCCTATGAATCGATGTTCATCGATATATGTTAGAGCAGCCCTTGTTATAGCGCCAATTGAAAGACTCTGAAGCCTGGGGATTCTCCCGATTATCGTTCAGATCTATGGATGCCATACGTTCAAACTGTGATGTGCTACTTCGAATAACGGCATAAGATGAAGAATACAATGAGAGAAAGTATACTAGAATGATGGATGATAGAGTGGAAAATATCTGGATTCAGAACTATGGGATATAGAGGAATTATATATAACAGGATGCAGAACACAGGCAAATTCAAGGGGAAATGGGACCATGGCGGTTAGCAGTGATTTGATTATAACCCGCATATCCAGCCCAGTTGACAATGTGATACTGGAAGTATAGGCGCTGTAGTGCATCGTGCATAATAACGGGAGCCTGCATCTCAACATAAGATATTAGATCTAGGGAGAGCAGCAATTCGAGATCTATGAGGAATTTCATATGTCTTATGTGGACGAGCCTAATCCACTGTATCCCAAGGTCTTCGTCTGCCATTACAGCCATTACATCTAAAAAGCAGGAGCATCTCTACAGTATCATGATAATCTCGAACCTGGTAACTATGTTGCGCAAATTGAAACAGACCCATAGTGTAAGTGAGGCGATGAAAATGTCCCCTCGGATAACATTCTCATCTACCACTGAAAAGAAATTTGGCGGTTATCACAGTAGAGCAGCCACTGCAGCAGCAGCCATAGGAGCGCTTTTATTCAGATACCGTTACTACAAGGTATTTTTGTATGTTCAGCCGAATTCTTATACGAAACACGATCCCACTTGAGATTGAATTATCTGTGGCTCTTCATCGACATTCTTGTATTTATAATAGCGGTAGAGACTAAAGGTATCGAAATGGACAGAGAAGAACCATTCAATAGAAAGTACACCGGTCCGTTCCATGTTTCTGAAAGCATCTGTAGATTCTATTTCTATATTTCTGTCTCATTTGACTTCTTCTCATCCTTCCACGATCCTTGAAATTTATGCTGTACGTATGCATCCTCTGGAGTTGATCCGTCACTTGTACTATTGGAGTGTCGCTGGCCCATCCCAAACCCATCGATTGGTAGTACCAGGATATCTCCCACAAGTCTCGGTTCCTTCAATCCACTCAAGTCGGTCAACGACAAAAGATCCGGCTTATACTTCTGCAATTGTCGGAAGACGACATCTCTCCACGCAAATGGCCTAGTCAGTTCCATGACTTCCGATATATTCGGACAGAGCTTCGAGAATGTTGTTCCTCTTGCGATTGTAAAGTCTTGTAGGGCGGCCATAACCCAGTCTATCATATAGCCGAAGAGAGGATACTTAGGAGTTGCAGTAATAGTCCACTAGCAAAATTGCATCTCGAGATAAAGATCCTCGTCGAAGATAGACCCATTAAGGCGATCGAATTCAACCCCTACAACGACTCGAGTATGTTCCTGATATCTTTCAGGCACCCACAAATCAATGGGCTTCAAGTTAATAGTATCAATGTCTGAATAGACACCGCCTTTAACTGATAAAATCATGTACCTTAGCAGGTCTGACTTCCATTCCGGTGTTCTTAAGTTCTTTAAAGATTCTCAAAAAGGTTGAATTTCCCTGAAAGTGCTGGCGCACGAGTGCTTCTGCTCCTTCATCTCCAACCAAGGTGTATTCGTAGTCGCGGTTATGGTTCTTAGACTGATAGGGCAATAATAAGTTCCTCCAGTAGGCCAGAGGTCGGATTCAATCTGATGATATGGGGCTCTGAGACTTCAATAGGATGCATTACCTAAGGCCAAGAGAGAGAATACCTTGATAGAAAGTTGGAATATATAACGCCGATGTGGTACTAGACAACTGGCGATGCCATATCTCGGAACGTGCCGGAAGCATGGAACACCCGTGGACGGAAGTCGGTTTATAAATTGCTAACTTGGCATGTCAACATGGGTTGACAGGTCTGGTAGGTAAAATAATGGGTTAAGGCGCCAAGCCCTTATCCTTTACACTGTTACCTACCGGGAAACCGTGAAATCCCTCTATAAGAGTTGTCAAGACTTAGAGCTTTGCTCGAGTAGAAAGAACTTGAAGATAGGCGATTAGCCCTCGATAATATCGGTTCTCTTACAAATTTGTTTAATCAATTGCTGGTCTTAAAACACATAATAGTCCCAGATCTTTCATGAAGAATGAAGCATTTTATGCATAAGTCAGTAAAACGAGATTTAGGGTCGCTTTAGTTCTCTAAAGGTTGAGGTTATTAGATATGACCTAGTCTAGTGTCTGGGTTCTTACTCCTGTGAGTGATAACTAAAACAAAATGACGTCTCTTATAATTGACTAGGACATGCCCCCGGGGAAACCAAAGACTCAAGTTGACCTGTTTTTTATTGTCTATATAATTTCGCTATATTCTTTATCTTGGCAGAAAGCTTGATGACGAAGACGGGTGGCGGTAGGTAAGCACAACGTACCTCCTAGTACCTCCTGATATTCCTTTCTCGGCCTTTTCAGCGTTTCACGCTTGTTCCATCGAATTTGACATTGACTATATAGCTCGAGATGACTTCCAAATCCAAATTCCGCGATCTACCCCGCGTCGCGGGGCCCTTGACCTGCCCATACAAGGTAAAACCCAAGTCCACTTTTCTTTTATATAACTATGATTTTCACACAGAACTAGGGAGCAGCTCTCCTCAAATCATCTCAATTTAACAAAGGCTCCGCTTTTCCAGAACATGAGCGAACAAAATTCAAGCTCCACAGTCTCCTCCCGCCAAATATCCAGACACTGGATGAGCAGGTCCAGCGCGCTTATCAGCAATATCAAAGCAGACCAGATGATCTAGCCAAGAACACCTTTCTGGCTAGCATGAAATCGCAGAATGAAGTGCTGTACTACAAGGTTCTGACATCCCGATCAAGACAACATCAGCATATGCACTTTCGCTAACCTATGAATAGCTCGTGCAAACCCATCTCAAGGAGATGTTCAGCGTGATATACACGCCTACTGAAGGAGATGCGATTGAGAATTACTCCCGATTATTTAGGAAGCCGGAGGGATGTTTCTTGAATATCAATGACCAAGACCACTTTGACGAGTATCTCGCTGGGTTTGGGACTGAGGAGGATGTTGATTATATTGTTGTCAGTGATGGAGAAGAGGTAATTATATACCTGCTGGGGGAATAATTAATGCGTGATCTTGCTTACCATTAATCTGTTTGCAGATCTTGGGCATTGGGGACCAGGGTGTGGGCGCTATTCTCATATCGGTTGCCAAACTCGTTATTACTACGCTCTGTGCTGGTATCCACCCTTCGCGACAGCTTCCTGTTGTACTGGATTGCGGGACAGATGTAGGTATACCTATTCCCTGGTTAAATCTACGTTTGCTGACATCGCCTATAGAACGAAGAGCTGCTCAATGACAGACTGTATCTAGGCCTCCGACAGCGTCGGGTCAGAGGGGAGAAGTACGATGAATTTGTGGATAAATTTGTCAACGCTGCCCGCAAACAATTCCCCAAGGCTTACATTCACTTGTATGAGAAACCTTTCTTTCTCTATTGCTCGAAAGATAGCTAACAATACTAGCGAGGACTTCGGGCTCAATAATGCACGGAGAATACTAGATAGGTATCAGTCACAGATACCCTGTTTCAATGACGACATCCAGGGCACGGGGTGTGTCACGCTCGCTGCCATGTTGTCTGCCCTTCAAGTCAGCCAGATCAAACTCGAAGATGTGCGAGTCGTGATCTTCGGCTCGGGAACGGCTGGTACGGGCATTGCCGACCAGATTTCAGATACCATCGCCACCGAGACACGAAAGTCGAAGGATGAAGCATCCAAGCAGATCTGGTATGTAACCACGGGACCGAGAGATAACACCCCTGCTAACACTGTTCTTTCATCTAGGTGCATCGACAAGCCCGGTCTCCTCACAAAGTCTCTCGGTGATAAGCTGACCGAAGGCCAGAAATCTTTCGCACGCGATGATGACCAGTGGTCGGAAAATGATCGAGATCTTCTATCGGTCATCAAAAAGGTCCATCCCCATGTACTTATCGGGACATCCACCAAGCCCGGAGCATTCACCGAAGACATCATCCGTGAGATGGCCGACAATGTAGAACGACCAATTATATTCCCCCTCAGCAATCCAACACGACTCCATGAGGCAAAGCCGGCTGATCTCTATAAATGGACCGACGGGCGAGCCCTCGTTGCCACAGGCAGTCCCTTCCCGCCAGTTACCCATAACGGCACGGAATATGACATTGGTATGTATTAAATCTCGCCTCCGACATTGCCTGTTCGGTATATTAATGATATTATAGCGGAATGCAACAACTCAACCTGCTTCCCGGGCATTGGTCTTGGAGCAGTCCTCTCACAGTGTAGTCTCATGTCCAAGAAGATGCTAGTCGCTGCCGTGGAAGCACTCAAGGCGCGGTCACCAGCTCTGAAAGACCCCGCCAAGCCGTTGCTGCCCGATGTGGAAGACGTGCGTGAAATCAGTGTGGATATTGCCGCGGCTGTGATATCGTGTGCTGTGGAGGAGGGACTGGCACAGGCTAAGGGCATTCCTACCACTGACTCGGAGCTGCGAGAGTGGATTCGAGTCCAGATGTGGGAGGCTGAGTACCGGCCTCTAGTCTACGAGGATTAATGCCAATGCTTTGCTGGCATGTACTGTGGTTTCGTTTGAGAGATACTTTGTACCTTTTGCTCTTTCATCGCAATCATTAATCTTTCAGGTTCCGTCCAATTATGGTTCCATACCCAAGATCACTGTGGTTGACTCAATATGTTTGTAGCTGGAATGATATTGGATGAGATACGAGCTACGCTAGCATGTCTGAAAGGCTTTGTATACACTAGTAGAGAAAACAAAAGACCCACAGTCGGAGGACTCAAACGACCCAAACGATGTGGAACCGGGGATTGAGAAGCAGTCCTTCGATGAACTGGATACTCTTGGTTCTACCGTAAATATTTATGAAATAGTATGAGCGACCTGGGTAGATATTGTACTTTGCGCGACTAAGAAGTAGTTTAGCGGGGAGTGTGTCGCTGGCCAAAGAGTGTATCCGTAGCCTTTCTCTTGCGGAATGATAGTGGATCCATTTCTTCAAGATCATCAGTGGTCTTGGTCAAAGAGACCTTTGAGCCGTAGGATACTATACGTTGGTGGCCATCGGGTGGTATAGATTGGCCATCGCCTCCGTGAATCGCTTGCAGCACGTAATCCAGTTTTTTGGTTTCCGTCAATCGATCATGGTCGGCTAGCGGACTAATAGTCATGGAAATTTGGTAAAGCTGGGTGACTGTTTCGACGATGGTTTTGAAAATATGAGAAACCTCGCTTTCGTTGAGCTCAAGATCCGCAATGTTTTGATCTTCATCGAGCTGAGCTTCCAAGATCCTCAGGTCTTCTTCTTTTGTGCTTTCCCCTCCATCTTCGCCCAGCACCTCCTCAAGAGTTTCAAGGAGCTCTCGAAGTCTCTGTAAGATCTTGACAGTCTGTCTTTTTATGACTGGCACATCTTTCAGGCGGTAATCCAGTGATAATGTCCCTCTATGATGCGCACCAGTATTTGCTGTCCATATGCGAATTCGACCACGTTCGTCTATCCATTTTCGTATGGGAACATCGCTTTCGTGCTCTGTAAGCGCCGGTAAAAGCAGTATATCGTCAAATTTAGAGAGGGCGCTCTGAGAGGATGCAGACACATCGATCATGATTTTTCGAACAGTCGTTATAATTGGAAAGGCCTTGGTCTGGTCAAATTCGCACTTGCGTAGTCACGGTGCTGATGCTTGCCTGGTTTGAGGGGCATTCCTCTGAGCGGATTGATTGGCCCCTGAAATGACTGTATGAAGCTGAGCTCAGCACATACCTAGCTAGGTGCGGGGCAATCTTTCAAAGAACACCTGTGGACCTCCTATTTCCTTAATAACACCAGTGGACCTTGGCAGCAATGGCGAGTGGTATTGAGGTTGCAGGGCTTACATTGGCTGTAATTCCTCTTCTGGTGAATCAAATCGACGGTTATGCCCGAGGTATCGAAAAGATACGGCTCATGAGAAACTATCACAGAGAGCTTTTGACATATCATACGGGTCTCAACACACAGTATGCCATTCTTCAATGCACATTGGAGGACGTGCTCGAGAATGTCGTGGATGATGAAGAGGAAGTTGACGGTCTCATTCAAAATCCACAAGGTGCTGGGTGGAAAGACCCAAGATTACAAAAGGCACTGCAACGCAAGCTTGGACGAAACTATGCACCGTTTCTCGGAAACATGAACTCCTTGTTTGAGCTATTGGAGCGGCTCTCAAGAAAATTAGAGTTGCCGACTAATGTAAGCCACTTTCCATCGATCCATGGATCGGGGGACCTTATTCCCATGTAAACATTGATCTCATACTGTAGCTAATCATTTTCATAGAGCTCTACTAATTTCCGTTCTTTTTGGAAATTCTGGAAAATCCTTTCAAGGGCGGTATATGACGACCTACTGGAGAGAATTGAAGCCGCAAATACTATACTTAAAACATTGATCGATCAAGCAAATCACCAGGAGAGAAGACAACGACAAAAACCCTGGAACGGTCTTCTAAGGAGATACGAACTCGAGCGAAAGCACATAGAATCTTTGTTTCAAACAGTCGGTAGTTCCTGTTGGCAATGTCACTGCCGGGAACATCATTGCGTCCATCTCCACCTCAAGCCCTACCTAGCCGATAGTCGCAAGGGCCGCTCCTGGGCCGCTTCTTCGTGCTTTGATTTCACTTTCTCCAACATCCATACCATCAGCCAGCCAGGTGTATGGGATTGGAGAGATGTCACGCTCGAGCCACAGGTAATTGACGGCTGGTGGGAAACTAGGAGCACGCGGGATTCGACGCCTACTTTGGCTGAGAAGGCACGCCGGCATCAAATCCCAGACCTTTGCTCATCACTCCAAGACTTCGAGCCACTTTGTCAGATAAAAAGCACGATCGGATTCATTTCGGCAAACTCCAACTCAAGGTATCGATATATTATGCACGCAGTAGAACGCTTGGAACGGGATTCCTTGAAACAAACTTTGCGCGAAACTTTGACCTCCTTGAGTCGCCGTGACCGACTATATATTGCTGCCACAATTGCCTACTCTGTCCTGCAGTATCATGGAAATTGGCTGGAGGGTCAATGGGACAGCTCCAATTTCCGCTTAGCCACCAAAAGTTTGAATAGTCTATACCTCTCGTCGCCTATATCTACCCCCGGCAATCTGAAAGGCTCACCTACACTTTCTAGCTCGGAAAAACGAGAGTCTGTCTTGCAATCCCTTGGAGTCAGCCTTGTGGAACTCTCGCTTGGCCGGCCCCTTGATGTATTACTCTCCTCAAAAGACGAAAGTCAAGATGGCAAAAAGACGATTATTGACTCTGCGTTGAGGCTTACCAAAGAGGTACGCCTAGAAAGTGGCTGGCACTATGCAAGTGTTGTGGACAGTTGTCTTTCCTGGTCTGGTGTGAGTACTATCTGCCAGGAAAGCCATAGCTTCGAGGAGCGAATTTTTGATAAAATTGTCTCTCCTTTACTGAAGGATGTGATGATCTTTGATGGAATGGCTTGATTTCAACAATATATTTTGGGCCTTATCATAACCCAATATGCTTCAGTGCATATTCCGGCAGTTTTGGGTCCATCGCGTATGTACAAGCCGTTGTAAGCATGAGATTATTTCTCAATTTTCAGATAGTTTCATGTACTCGCTATATGGCCTACTCCAAAACACCTATAATATTTAAGTAGAGTCTATCGCTACTAGAAAAATCATTTTGTTATCATCTTTCTTAAGGTCTTTTCTGCGGCCTTTTAGAATATAACCGCTAACTACCCCCTAATATTGCTCATGATGAAAGCAAGTGAAGAAATGAAAACGCGGCAAAACCCCTTCTTCCATTGTCTTGGACATACTGTCGATCGATCGTGATCAGCTGGCTCTGCAGATCGGACTGTGAAGAAGAAAGCAAACGTGCTTTCCTGTCCTTCCTTAGAACTTACGCCAATCTCTCCACCACGTACATGATAGAGTGTTCTCCTCTCCTGATATTGAGGCCAAGGCTAGAACTTCGGTAAAGGCTGCTAGTTCGAGGTGTGGCTTGGTTGAAGCGCTCAAACAGCTACTTTTGAGCTTGATCGCTAATTCCAATCCCGATACCATTCACAGCCACCATTACATACACGACTTGACGTCTGCGACAATCCTCTTAGTGCAGCAAAAGACTCCGATCGAGGTGTGCCCTTGACCGAATCTACTTGACATCTTCGAAAGTTCGTCTTCTCGCCCCATAGATTCAATCGCTCATGCCACGATTCCGTAGGAGCATCTTCAAAACCAAGGTCCTTTATTCCGCCGAGAATTCCAACGTTTGATCCTTGCAACAACTCCACCCCGGGACATATTCTCCCCAAGGTTCGGTTCCGTGTAGTCATGATAGCTCGAGGGCAAAGTGCAACTTTCCAGAATAGACAGCCCGGGATTTACACCAAGGATCCTCATGGGTGCGCTTCTCCTGCTTCCCAGCTTCCACCAGTTTCCTGATCCCCACCATTGTTGAGCATAGATGAACTCCTGAAGGTCATAGCCTTTGAAACCAACGACAAGAGAAACAATAATAATGAGCGCTGTAAGTGGCAAGGCCGCTGCCCAAAATACTTGCTGCGTGTGATTTGTGTCTCGAATATTGGTTGTATTCATACCAAGGAAGCTCGTCACAAATGATAGAGGAAGGAAAATCACTGTGACAATGGTGAAAGCGAGTATAGCTTTTCCATGATCCTCTTGCCGTACTTCGACGCCACTTCGCGTTGCTTTGGCAAGTGAGTCGGCCTTTTCAAGAAGCCGCTCGATGCTTTCTGCATCGTCATCGAGACGACCAATCAAGTCATCCAGTTTACTTTTCTCGAAAATGAAAGATGCCTGGCGAGAAGCTGTAGTGATCCTAAACGATGATGGAGCGAGAAGGACTTTGTAATTGACACAAAGAAGTCGCTGCTTCATTGTGAATTTCTCGATAATTTCGAGCTCCTGCATCGCAAGTCGTATATCTGATAAAAGCCGATGGCCTGGGTTTTGGATGACTCGAGTTTCCTAAAGCCTTGTCAGTAATGATCTTGGAAATATTGATTCGAATGGCTCACGAGGCCAAGCATGTACACCCTGTATATTTCAACCAGGTCCACGGTGTCATTATTGCTATCTCTGCAGCGTAAATCATCCATGATGGTTGCAAGAACAAGCTCCGGGCTCCCTGCTTGGTACGTCCCGATCGCTGAAGAGTCATCGGTAAAAGTCATTAGTAAAATTTCCCGCTTCGCGTCGCCGAGCGAGCGCTCTGCGTGGGCACCACACTGAATTTGTCGTTGTAAATTGTCCAGCTCCAACAAAAGAGGTGGAGAGTCATCAGAAGTGTGCCCCTGCACTTTCTGTAGCCCATCCCTAATTCCCTTAGCAGCATATGCTAGCATCAACAGGAGGTGTTGAAACCCCTTCACGAGCGACTTCGAGATTCGGTACGTATCACGGTCAAATTCCCCGTTCCCCGAAACTCCATATCGAATTTCCCACATAATCTCTTCGAGCTCAACGCAGTTATCAACAAGCGCATGAATAACCCTTTCTCCAGCTCGACGAGCTTGTAAATTCAGCATTTGGTAATTGTCCATGACCCAGTGGGTGTTTGTCTTCAGGACTGCCTCAGCACGGAAATGGGCTTGCAAAAGATGGCCCACGGCATCCTCACGCGTTGAATATTTCTCTCCCTTTTGACATCTCACACAATCCATGATCGGCACTTCAAGAAGATCAAGATCATCTGTGGCTCGCAAATCAGCTTCCGTAGGGCCTGATATGTCGACAATTTCGAAAATGTTGGCTTTATGGCGGTCAGGGCTATTCTTTTGTGAAAGAATGCACAGGTCGCATATTCCCTTGACACAAATTAATACCAGCAAAGAATAAGACACCGTCTCAATAGGCTTACTGTCAAAATTTCGGACAAGGCACCCATGTACTTTTCCCCAACCTCGCATTTATATGCGGCGGGCATGAACAGACCCAAGAGTCTCAGAAGGATGGTTGTAACGCCCTTCAATGAAAATTTTCGAGGGGCAATAGCGGGACCACTTGTAGAGTGCTCTGTCTGATTCTCTTCCTCGAGCATCGTAACGCTGATAGAGAATGTATCCCTGATAAGGTTTTCGATATGCGCGAAAGACTTGGAAGGAGTTCCCATATACAAATCCTTGTTCTCTGTGGTCCCAGAAAGCTGGGTATGAAGATATCCACAGACATATGAAAGAGACTCTTCTTCTGATGTTATGATGTTATTTTGAGAATAGTTCCACTGCGCCAGATTTGCAAAATCGCCAGAGGCTGATTCGTGATCCGGCTTAGATCTTTCACCAATTGACCATGTGAACACCGGAGGCACGTTTGGTTTAATCTCTGCGCTACTGCTTGGTGAAGCATTGGACTGAGCTTTTTCTTGTTCAGCCAACTTGGGATCAACATTGATATTAGGGGTCGGTGACGGAGTGGCTCCTGTTCCTCCATGTTGGCTTGGAGAAGTTCCAGTGGACCTGATTGAATTCCCGGTAGATGAGGAAGTATTCTCCTTTTCACTGGTCGGACTAAAGGTCCCTTTGGCTAAAACATTGTCTGGGAGGAAATAAACGTCTTCCTCTTCTTTGGCCGATGTTATATCAGGCACATTGTTGATTATTCCTGAATTTGGGGGAAGCAGGCGCCCAACTTCGCGGTCAGATGACCTATGTTGATCCGAAATCTTACTTTGAGCAGTTGCAGCTGTATCTTTCCCTTCCTCCTCTTGCGCCCATGTAGGTCTGCGCTTAACGAGAGCCATGCCGCCTGCACTTACAACAGACTGTTCGGGACTGTCTTCGCCAGCTAGCTCTGCTACTCTGCCCTGCAATTTTGGTGTGTCTGATACAGTGAGTTGAGCAGGTTTCGGCGCCTTCACTTCTATTAGTCGGACACTCAATGGCAAAATGGTCGACTTATGGCCCTTTGAAACTGCATGCCAGGTCTCCGCATGTACTGGATTCCCGGTGATTGTGAATAGCTGTAATTCAAGTCTGGTGAGGTCAATGTCTGACAGACAGCCATTTTTCACTTTATCGATCAAAGCCTGGTTTTGAAAATTTAGCTATGATATTATCCCGGCAAGGAATCTAGTATGGAACAAACATACAAACCACGTCTGACAATGATCCATAGGAATGAAGAAAACACGCTGATTGTGATCAGTGAGACGAATAATAGATGGTCCCGAGCTTGATCTTGGCCTGGGGGAATCGGCAATGTTTAAAGAATTCGCAGCGATTTGTGAGAAGGAGATAGGTGCGCAGGTAATGAGAAGCTCTGTAAAAGATTAAAATCATCTTCATGAAGGGGCAGGAGTTCAAAATACTGGAGTTCAAGACTATGGCCCACAACTGAGGAACGAAGGTAATGTGGTCGCTAGGGAATAGACCCGTCATCCGTATTGCCTGTCCACACTCCCTCTGCGCCGTGGTCTGATGATAGTAGGTCTGTAGGAGACGACGCTGAGAGTCCTTCTTGAATGATTCAACGGAAAAATAGGGAAAGGACATGAAAGTGGCTGATTTCTCTTCCTTTTCACTTCCGGACGAGTGACGGCTGACGCATCTCAGGGTACAATCATCATGAAGCCCCCCGTCCTCTGTAATTCGAACCTCTTTGCGGACTTCTGCCAAAAGCTTCAAGATTAATGCAACATCCTGTTTATATAATCCGGGGGCTTGGATTGCAAATGTCTGTTGAGTTGTGTTAGTTATGTCTCTCTCTTCGAAGTAGAACAAGGAACAATATACCGTGAACTCTTCAAAATCCGCAGCCTCTCTCTCCACGTGCCTGAGATTCAATTAACAACAATTAGGAAAATTATAAAGGCTCCCATACATCCAAGTCATTTGTGTGGGATCCTTGTCCTCTATGCCGTGTTTCCGGTACATGTCGATTTTCCCGTAGCCTGATATACGAGAACTCGAGATCTCTACCGACCTCACACCCTGTATGGATGCCCGAAACAAAGGTGTGCTCGGTGTGAACTTGTTTTGATCCCCCAAGGCACTTTTCATCAAAATACCAAAGCTTAAGGGCTTTTCTGTTGCCGCACATAATGGTGGGCGATACCTCTGACCCTCACTTCCTTGTTGATTCCCACTTCCCTCTTTAGTTCTACTTTCCCATTGATGTCGGAGCTCTGCTGTGTGGGAAAACAGCTCCTCGTGAAACTTGCGAGAAATCCATTTTCGGATTATGATGTAGTTGGGGTCGGACTTTCATGCTGTCAATCGAGAATGTACATTTCTGCCAAGGTGAAATTACGCTTACCTCGTCATATTGCCAAGGAAGATTATAATCATTCAGGGTTACCGGGGAAAGATACTGTATTGGCGACTTGGAGAAAGTCAGCTCAAATTATGCGAAATCACGTACATCAAACTTACTCTGACCCAGGTATGCATCGGTTTACGGTCATCGTCACTGTTTCCGTTCGCTTCCGGCTCATTTGAGGATTTGGACGGCTCCTTAGCCTCATCATTCGGAGGTTCATTGGGTTCCTTGGGCTCCTTTCCTTTGTCTCCTTGTTCAGACTCGTCTGGAAGCAAATGTTGCAACTCCTCAAACGGGTCTTCGACCAGAGGGGTCAACGGAGAGCCCCCCTCTGTACTTGGCTCAATCACCCCGTCCTGTCTTACATGAGTTTGTGTCTCATTTTGTGAGTACCTAGACAACTCTTGCTCTTGGATCTCGGCCCTAACTTCTGCTGATATGCGGGTCTCCCTTGCCTTTCTTTCTTCCTCTTCCCTCAGACATTCTTGGATCTCTCTTCGGATCGTTTTCTTTAGCGTAGCGTAGGAAAGGCCGGTTGATGAGATTGATGCGACGTGACGACTTGGAAGTTTTCGGTTGATGTTTTTAAGTCCCTTTGACGGGTGTGCATGGCGATAAGACTGTGCGGACAGATTCACGCGCTCTTGAACAATGGGATGTTTTTCCGTGCGTGGGAAGGTAGTTCGTCTTCTTCGATTACTTGATTGTGCATCATACGAGTCGGGTTCATCCTCCATTTCCCATTGGGTCGACTCAAAGGTTGTACCACTCTCTTGTTCGTGTTTGGAATTTACTGTTCTCTGGTCTATTGACTGATCTTGAGACAGCGACTCTTCCTTTCCACTTCGAACGTCAGCATGAGCACTATCGTCGGTTTTCCTGGAGATATATGAGTAAGCTTCATCAGCATTAGTCTCTTCCATTGTGTCGAAGCTCTGCAGTTCTCAGCATATCAGAGTTTGATGTGGAACTTGTGGGCAGAATATTCGAGGAATTTGGAGCGTATAATGACGAAATCTGGAATGCAGACTTCACGCTGTTTGCACATATCATATTATTAGTGGGGCAAAGGCTGAGTCCTGGGGGCCAGGGAGTTTTCTGGCCCCAAATACGGCACAATTCGTAGCAGATTTATGAATGAAAGGATTTATGAAGGACAGGGGTCAATGCCAACGCACCCCGGTCCACTTCCCAAATTGTACCCTCAGACAAGCTCTAAGGGAACAGCAGCTACTCTTTGGATATGGAAAGAGAATGAGAAGTATAGGGGAAGAATGCGAATTAGTACACTCAATAAAATACCCATCGTCCAACGTGTCATCTGACTGGGCATGTTGATTGAACATTTGATACTAGCCGCAAATCAACGTATCTAATGAATGATTCCGAACTTATCGTGATGCAAGATAGCCCGGAATCGATCTCATAGATGTGTACTAGCAAATAGAGCATTGTCCGTTTGATAAATCGCCATACGATGTAACCCAACCCTCTATCAGCTTTAGCTGTGAGACATCTCGCTGCAAACCCGAAATCATCATGCAAATGTAATATCTTACAAAGTGTTCAATAATATGGAACCTATGTGAGCCAAAGATAATGAAAGAAATCAAAGCTAAAAAAAACCGAACGATCGAAACATATTAACTTATGGAACCCATAGACGCATAAATCCTACGACTTCCTGACGACAAGTGACGCAGCTGCCGAAGTTGTTCATGGCAAGGCTAACGCGACAGTCCTCGCAAATGCACAGACAGCGACAGGGCCAGGTGATGATGGCCCGTGGGCTTGTCTGGCAGACCACACATGGTGGACCATTAGGGCCGAGGCCGGTTGCGCCTGATTCCCATGTATGGGCATCGGAACTGTCCGAAGTTTCCGAGCGACGGGAAAGGATGAGCTTCTCGAGAAGTTCAGCTTCCTCTTCAGGTGTAGGTTTCCGGCATTCGGATCCTGAGTGCATGGCGTTGAGCTGCTGGAGGCGGGACGAGAAGATGATCCGGGATCTCTCCTGTTCAACTTGTTTCTGGTAGCGACTGCGCGTCATGATTTGTGGTTTATCCTGGTTTGTTTTGAGATGGGCGGCTAGGATCCTGGCTTCCTCTCTACTGTCGCGATCGCGAGGATCAAGAAGACGGGCAAGTGTGCTCATGTCGATCAGGGGATCTTGAAGTGGTGGACTTGCTCTATCTGCATACGGTTCAAGCTGGGTAGGAGTCCGACGACCATCTTCTGATGGGTAATCCTCCCATTCCGACTCGGAGGCATTGGTAGACATGGACACTACGCTCGTAGTGTCAAAGTCATCAGAAGGCGGGGAATAATCAGAGGTTTGATCTTGGTTGCCCCATGCACCGCCAATTTTCCACCAGCTGTACAGCCTGTCGTCTAATCGGCTTTCATCCGAGCTCATCCAGTCCGGGCGATTCGCGCGCTCTCGCTTCCTCATCTCGATCTCGACGTCAAAGTCATGGTCATCGGGGAGCTCAAGCTCTCCATTTTCCGACAGAATCCAGAAATCTAATGGCTGTGATGGGTTCATCTTGCCGTCATTAGATTTCTGTCCACGGTGACCCACCATGCGTTTCAGCCACATTGGCCGAGCACTTATTCTCAGTCGATCAAGCACATTATTGAGCCCAAATGCAAGCCAACGGAGCATTATGAGAGAGATTGCGCGGAAGAACGAAAGTACATGCCATAATCTGATAGATACTCGCACTGCGCCAACTCCCCCAAGCTCGGCTCGAGATTGCACGGCTCGAGCACCGTTTTTGGGTTTCTCAACCTTCTTTTCGCGGTTGTAACCACTTTCCCAAGCAGATTGTTCTGGCATATCGAAACTCGAGAAGCCCATAGCTTCGATAGGCCGACTGCTGGGTTCGCTTGGTTCGCTCTGCCAATTGCCATAAGATGAAGACTTCCGCCTCGAAGCTTCAATCTCTGAAAGGCGATCCTCTTCTAGCCAAGTCATCCGCCGTGCGACAACCGATTTGCCCTCGTTCAAGAACACAGCCTCACTTGCCGCGGTTAGTGCAACATAGCCGATTCGAAGCAACGTCGTGTAAAAGTCTTCGTGTCTGTTGACACGAATGCTCCTTATCTGGTTTGATCCTTGCATATTTTCGTGGGCCATCAAGAAACGGTCATAGAGTGAGACAGGTCGATCTTCCGAGGGTAGCGAAACAGCGGTGATGGTAAGTGCCAAAGTGTATATTGAGAGACAAATCACAATGCCGCCCAATAAGAAAATATGAGGGATGAATCCCACAATGCAAACAGTCGGGAACCTGAGCACGCCGGTTTCGAGGCTGACGGGCGGACCACCATCTAACCCCCACGACATGGCTACCATGAAGCAGGCACCCCAAAAGGCGGTGCTAAAAAGCCTATATTTGCTCTGCTTGCCGAAAACTTCTAGTATGTGGGAGGTGGCACTATTGCAGCACGAGATCAATGCAATAAGTAAGAGTTCGGGTGTGACATTCATGCGTTCCAAGACTTGCGATCTTGTGAGGAGTTCAAAGACCGAAGTTGAGCTGTCATCAGACCCACCCGAAAGCGCACTGAGGGGGCTTTGTTTGGGAAGGCCGAACAGGCCTAGTCCGATGGACTTACTGATCATCGACTCGGCTTCTGCGAAGGCGATTGAGTGTTCGAAGATGGACATCCCCGTCTCGGTCATCACGGGCCTGCCTTGTAATGCGCACGAGAGTGTTTCAATAAAGTGACTTAAGCAAAGGAGCATGAATGTCGGCCAGAGTAGGGAGAACGATCCATATGGAATACCGGGATTGGTTCCGCGCGCCATCTTCACAGCACTGCACGACCGTTCCTCAGACTCCCATCCCAAGAGGGTCGAGCTAATCGAGTAAAGCGCGCCCCCATCACTGGAATAGTCGAACACTAGTTGCTTTCCGGGGTATCCGTAGCGCATTGTCGAAAAAGACGGTGACGTCTGACATCGAATTCCACGGAGCAGGCTGAGGATTTGGGAGGCGAAGAGAATGATAGGGATTAATCGGAGAGCCGCGCGCCTTTCCCAGCCTAGTCGAAGGTGTCGCCGTGTGGATGCATATATAGTAATTCGGTTGAGGATGAGCGCCTAGACCTATCAGCATGGTAAGTATACAAGTCGAGAGCGGGGTCTTACCTCCACCAGACAGGCAAATGACCAAAGACTTGTCAGATACCCAAAGAATCCACCAAGCTTCTTCATGGCGCCCAAGAACTCGGCAATGTAGTAGCCACTCTCCTGGCCGGCTACATCGGCTAACTCAGTTCCAGCCATATCTGCTGCATGTGTTGCGGCCGTACCGCTAGCTCCAGCTGCTAAACCAGCCCCGCTCCAGATATTTTGCCCCAGTGCTTGAATTCCGGTTATTCTAGCGATAGTTTGGGGAACCGTTCGGAGGGCAAAGGTCTCGGCGTGTTGAAAGGCGCGAAGGGGGGAGGTCAAGAGTTGATGCGGTAAAGAGGACAAAGAAGAAGTTCCCGGCGACGAGCTTGTATTCAAATGTTGTAACAGAGCCGCGCTAGATGTGGTTGGTATTGTGGAGGGTTCCACGATGCCTGACATGATGAGTCGGTGTTGTATGCGCCTCTGCGGGTAAGCCTTATCAGTGATCCGGGGCAGATACAATCAACACGGAGGGCCGCCAGTGCATCCGACTGTGGGTATAGGCAAATAAGTATGTTTAATAGTCAGAAGAAGTGACTAGACTGAAGACCACAGTGAGCAATGCTCCTGTGAACTGCATCCCGCAAATCAAAATGTATGAAAGAATGATCTTCACAATGGCGGGCACTTCCTTGGAAGTTGGCCACTGGTGGAGCCAGGGCCCGTCAATATTTGCTGACTCAGCCACCGGAATCTCCAGCCTCGCTCCCCAGCCTCCAGCTTCAAGTTGATACTCCGTACGGAGTACACTCTAGCCATCTTAATTATACAAGTCTCTATAATATGGTTATGGTTTCTTGGTTCAATTTGTCTCCTATGATCCAAACCCTTTGCCAGTAGTAGTCTAGACAAGCGTGTTATCATGGGAAGTGTTGATCTGCCATCATCTTTAGACAAATTCGGCCATGGATGTATTAACCGTTTGCAAATGCTCAGATGGGATAAAGAAGTCTTCTGCAGAATCGAGGATACTGCTAAAGCAAGAAGAAAAAAAAGAAAATATGTATTTGCATAAAGTTACATATATTCTATCCCATAGAATACATATCATGACATAACGCCATGACCAAGCCTGTGTAAGCTAGTCCGGAACTCCCCATGGTATTGTCGTAAAAGTCGAATGTCGTATGTCATTGCGCCGTGAACCATTGCAAAAATGACGTGAGCTGAAGCAAGAATAACCGATACCTGAGGTCTCAGTCAGGAAGGTGATAAAAAACCAAAGGCCAAAGGCACCACGGGCAAATTAAGTATCCAAGAAATCGGCAGCCATCAGGAGTTCCAGGCACAACTCAGGTGGAATATCCATGTCCGGCACATTGACCTGGTCCTTGTGCTTTTCATTGTAACAGAAGTATTCGCAGATCTTTTCGACAACGATGCCACTGAAGAGAAACAAAAATTCGTTAGCAACGTCTATCAAACAAAGGAGGTATGTGAACGCGAGACGTACGAAAATTCCTCCAACACACAGCGACCGGTGAGACCCTCGGGAAATTTGCCTATAGGTGGTTAGTACAGCCCGTGGAGCAATGCAATGGAACTCGAGTCCACGTACTCGAAGGGTCCAGCATGCGTCGGATGGTGCCTGAGACGCAAGCTGCGCTGCGGGGGATAATGAATTCAAATCCGTCGTTTGAGACTATAGTCACAAACTCGGAATCCGTAGATGGCGCCATCATGAAGCACGCGTCGCGTAGTTGTAGGAAAGTGACCGTTGTGGAGCGAAAGAGCCTTCTGAGGCGTGTTGGTCCGTGCTGAAGCTGCCCCCAATGACGCACCCGATTTTCCCGATATCGCGTTTTGCTTGGACTTCAGGCAAGGTAAAGCAATATGGGCAGTTTGAGAGTACCTCTGATTCGCTTGCGAGTGCCAATTCTATTCTTTCGAGACTCATCAAGACCGATCAATTTACGCAATGTAGGCTACGTCAACAGCCGAGTATCAAGTCATCTGAGATATACAAGGCGATCATACTCATCTCAACCAAATGAGAACAACCGCATTACATTCCAGCCCGGAAACCGACTTGCCGGCCGAAAATGCATGATCACCGGTGGGACATCTGGCATCGGCTTTGCCATTGCCGAGCGATTTCTACAAGAAGGCGCATCGACCATAGTCCTCGTCGGCCGATCTCAAACACGCCTAGAGGAAGCGGCCGCAAAGCTTGGGTCTCTCGCAATCACACCACCAGATCTTGGTGAAAGCGACGCTGAAATTGCAACTCGAACCCCAGAAGAAGACAACCAGCAAAGCACGCAAGGGAAGATTCGTCTACTTGTCGGAGATGTCTCAGATGCCGGGTCATGGATGCGTGAACTCGAAAAGGAAATGGTAAGCTATCTCATCTATGTCTGTGAATGCCCCATTTCTAACCATCATACAGGCAAATGTAGACATCCTAGTCAACGCAGCAGGCATTTCGATATCAAATATCTTGCCAAGATCCGAGCTGGAAGATATCTCCACCATCCTACGTACTAACCTCGAAGGCGCAGTACTCACTTCGCGCGCATTAATGCGTGCCTCTATACGGAGCCGGATACGGAATCGCAGTGATCCAGCTGCAGGGACCAAGCCCCCTCGAAATGCATTATTAACGTCTCCTCTTTACTCGCACTCAAGGGCGGAACTGGCGCAGTTCCATACGCAGCTTCCAAGGCGGGCCTTCTCGGTCTGACACGGTCATTGGCTGCTGAAGCATCGGCTTCGATGAAAGATATTGTCATTCGGTCGAATGCTATTGTACCGGGGTATATTGATACACCCATGGTTGCAGGTATGTTGGTTTGGAAATTCTATATTTGTTCGTGCGTGAACTGATCTCGATACTAGATTTCACACCCGGGGAGACGAGCAGGCTGAAAGATCTCATTCCTCTTCATCGATTTGGAGATCCACGAGAGATTGCTGATGCAGCTGTGTTCTTGGCACATAATGAATATGCCAACAATTGTGTGCTCAATCTCGACGGTGGATTGAGTGCCATTTGATTCGATCCGAGCGAGACATGTAATACCAATGAAATATGTGTATTTATAAAAAACCCCTACACTACAATATCAGGACAGGGATTTGTTCATCGATGCTGATTAGCATAATATAAACTAAACATTGCCGTCATGCAATCCCTTATATGTCACAACACTCAAACAGCCGTAACAAATATCTCATCCACAATCAAACCACTCGATCCACCATTGATCTTGACAGACGCGGTGGTAACCTTGTCACTTTGCGTCGCAGAGCCCAAAGTGACAGATTCTCCGTCCACAGTGGCGGTCGAAGCACTATCCGAGAAAGCGATTTCCAGGATCTGCCATTCCCCTTGTCTGTAGGGTGTACCAGCAGCAAAATTCACAGTAGCAGACTTCGAAATCCCCTGGATTTCCACCGATGGCAATGTGCCAGTTCCAGCTGGAGTCCAAATTCTCACATTGAGACGGAACGGAACAGTGAGAGAGATAGGTCTGGTAATTGAAACACCAGAAGCGAGCGAAAGCGATTTACCTAGCCCACCAGATGGATCTGCCACAATGGAGGCTGTTCCTGTGGCGGTCCAGCCGGATAGACTCGAGTCATCGAAGCGACTAATCCATGCCGGGATCTTTGTTCCAGCACCAGAGTAGAAACCGCGATTTGCGTGCGCGCTTGTGGGGTTATTGAAGAAATCCACGTCCGCATCACCTGATACAGCAGTTGCAGAATCCAAGGTGGGATAACCGGTCAAGAGATGATATGCCTTGGGATCCCTCAATCCAGGAGCGGCTAGACCTGGAGCCTCAGTGAGCGAATTGGTGGCCTTGGAGTAAGTGTCGATGGAGCCATAGAATGCATTGTTGTTCACAATAAAGCTAGTATCACTCAACCCCCACTTAGCCGCGCCAGAGCCATCTTTCTTGAAGATGTTGTTGGTAAGTTGGATATCAAGGGTTGCGGCTGTGGCTTCTGTGACGATATAGGGCGAGAGACCATCTCCAATGTAAACGGTGTTTTTGTAGATCTTTCCACCAACAAGACCTCCGTCGCAAATCTGGAAGATTCTTGCCCGGTCATTGACAGACAGGTTGTATCTGATGGTGAAATTTTGACTTGGCTTATCGTAAGGGCAAAACAAGAAAAATCCACCCTCATTGTCGTGGGATACATTGTATTCGAAAAGAGTACCGGAGGTCGAATGGTCCACATCATAAGCCATTCCTACTCACGAGTTAGCTTGACCCAGTCAATGTATAAGATTCATAACACATACCATCAAGTGTTGATTTGCCACCTGATACAGTGTTATATCGGAAGACAGACCCAACACTGTTTGCGGTCCATAGTCCCGCGTTGTAGGACTCGGAGCGCCGATTAAAACCAACAAGAGTGTTCTTAAGGACCTCAGCATCATTGTTTCCCGTGATAACGATTCCATCTCCACCAATATCGTACAGACGATTCCGTTGAATAACTAATCCAGAGGACGCCGCCCATGGCTTGAGGCATAGAGTATTCCAGAAAGCGGCAAGCTCCTCTCTCTGGCACCAATTACTCCAGGTGTAGATTCCCTGTCGGTCCACCGAGCGAATCTCATTATCTTGGATGACAAGGCCATCGAAATAAGTTGGAGTTTTTGAGCCAGCGGCCTCAATCACAATGCCACCGGAGGCATTCGCGTACTTCCCCGTAGCAATACCGGTAGTTGTTGTTGAGGGCATCCAACCTCGTACATCATGAATATAGAGACGTTGTAGTGTAATGTCCTGGACTCGGCCGACATCGGCCGCATACACATATACACCACGGCGAGGTGTTTTATTGTCTCCTGGATTGGTGATGTCGAGATCTTGAACAGTGACAAAGGAAGCTCCTTGAATCAGAACTGAGTTCAAAGTGGTACCTGCACCAACAATCGGCTTTGACTGTGAGGCATCTCCATAGGCACTGACAGTGATAACTGATCCCGCGGATCCACTTTTGTTAAGCAACAGGGGACCAACAAAAGAGGTGCCTCGTTTGAGTAGAATGTTATCGCCGGGAGAGAGTGACAGATTTGGGATCGAAGTCAAGGTATTATATGGACTTGATTGAGTGCCATCTCCGTTACTAGTAGCAGAGCCATCAAAATAATAGCTACTGCTTGCCAGGCAAAATGGAAGAAGGGCGAGATATTGCGCAAACTTCATGTTGGATAGACTCACACTTTGGAGGATATTCAATTAATCTTTTAAGTATAGGGTCTAGTTTCCTTTTAAATAGCCTACAATTAGATGACGAGATACGAAGGGGGTATTGCGCTTTTTGCAACATTGGGGTACCAATTTATATAGATTGCGTAGATCAATGATACCTTCCATCTATTAGACTTTCATCGAGGCGATACCCGGGTCCCCACGTGTTTCTCCGCAGAGGTTCCTGTTCTTCAGAAGATTTACAGGCACAATATATGACGTGCTCTCGGATCTCGGTTCGAGCTAAGCGAGCCGGCTTATAGAACAATTTTTTAGTACTTGGCATATTTTACTCATCTATCAACGCTAGTAGTTGAGATACAAAATCCCCATAATGCATTATCATGTCCATATCCAAAGCATGTCAACCTGGGATTTTGAACTTCCCTTCCAAGGTTGACTGAAAACAGGTTCGCCTTTATGCCATATGATACAGAAGGTTGGAAGGAGGCAAGGAAGCCAAAAAAAGGGGGGAACTGAAGTATGAAAAGAATGATATCAAGATAAACACCTGTGAAGGTTGCTAGTAATACCTTGAGATGCTACGTGAAACAAAGTATGTTTTCAGCATCTAATCATCGATCATGATGGCACCTCCCTCGTCATCATCAAGAACAATAGCTTCAATGCCCTTTGAGTCAGGAATTGATGCACTGGCGAGCCGTTTGGCATCATGGCTGCTGTCGTCGCTTGAGCCCTCACGCTTGCGCTTCCCTGTCACAGTTGCATCATCGGTTGCCGGAAGATCAGGAGAAGGCTGCGCGGGCTTCGCGGGCTTCAAAGGTATCTCGACCATCTTCTGCAGCGTTGCAGGCTTGGAGTCCTTGGAAGACGGCTCATTTCTATAAATCAATCAGTTAAAATTTCCCAGTACTCTTGAAAGGACGGCATGTACCGTGCCACGATCACCAGCTCGAGATTAACTCGCGTGTCTGGTTCATTCTGATCTTGTATCGTGATGAAGCTCTCATTCTTAATGCCTAGATCCGATAACTTCATCGTCAGATTGTCGGGGAATTCGGGGTCGTAGATCAGTTCGTTTCCAAAAGCAACGGAAATCTCTTCTTCATAACCCAGCTCCATCCTAAGAACCCCTTGGATGAGATGTTCAAGTGTTGCTAGCTCAGAGTCGATTTCAACCCGAGCCACCACAGGGGAACACACGGCGCAATCGGGGTTTGGGGGGTTCAATGAGTCTGAATTGATCACACGAGCGCCGGATCTCTCTAGGAAGACCTATCAGAGCGATGGCTTGTTAGCTTTGGTAGTAGTGAGAACCCTTGTTCAATTCTTACCATTTTGGCATGCATCAAGTTGTTTTGAAACACCTTCAATGACTGAAGAACACATAGTCCAGCCGTCATGGCATTGGTGGTTGCAATAGCAGGAATGATATTGCCCGCCATCTCTGTAGAAACTTTGTCAGTAATGACCATCTTGGAATGTGCACCTTATTTGATAAACTCACGCTTGACATCGAATTTGGATTTTAGTTCAACGTGGAAATTAGCAGCTCGCAGATTAGCAGCCGCGGTGACGAAGTCTAAAGTGTCCACATCATCTTTATCAAATGTTAGGATCGGAGAGTCTTGGTCTGGGGTATTGTTCTCTTGAAGTTGCTTCAGACGATCGGTCAACCGGTTCAAGCTGCACCGTGTTAGTTTATCGAACGTACGCTGTCAGCGACAGACAGTTCCTACCTATCCCCGAAAACTCTGAAATTCTCCCCCAATGTCCACACTTTCTGGTCATTCGTGGAGATCGTCGAGGAAATCAAAGCGGATTGTTCTTGGAGTTGAGCAAAGTCGAGAGGCTCTGGTTGCTCTCTTTCCTTCCAAATGTCCTTCATGCCCTGTAATCGCATTATGTCCCTTCGAAAAACTTTATCAAAGACCTTCTGGGGGGCTTCTTCGGTGCCAATCGATTGTCGCAATTCTTTGAGCTCCAGTGCTTCCTTGCGCAGTTCCGCAATTTCCTCTGCTAGCCGGATGTCAGCCTCAGCGTCGCGTTATGAATGAAATTGAACCTACCATTCTCTGCATTTTCAGTCTTGTCCACCTCCGACGTCTCGTCTTCGCTATCGCCGAAAAGTTCCCTACTCGAAGGTGAGCATTGTAACCGGACAGATTGGGAGCTGGATCTTACGGCAAGAGGAAGCTCTTCGCCCAAACGATGCAATGAATCGGCTGGCTGGGGCTGCTGCGGATCGTACACACGGGGAACGACTTGGGGGTTTGTTTTGGGGTGCAATCATAACACTCGGTTTGAGACTAGTACAATGTACAGTCAATAGACGCTCAATCTGCAGAGCAAGACATCGCTTTTGCTGCATACCTTCTGAATAACTTGAACCTGGCCATTGAAGCCTGTAGTTCCACTTTCGATCAAGGGCACATTGGCTGCAAGGCACATCTTGTTCACATGACGCCGTGCGGCGATGTTGTCCAGTGCATTAAACACGACGTTAAAGGACTCGAACCACGAGACGTTAAACTGGGCATCCATAATGTTCGCATGGTAGGCCTCGAGCTTTGCGTCAGACCGGAACTTTTGCGCAACTTCCTTGGCAACCTAGATGAAAGCACCCATATCTCAGTATTCCATATCTCCTATCGCTGAACAGCTTATAAATGCGAATGCGCGGCGCTTGACTCGGGGGGTGTTCGCAAGGGAGTGGCGCAAGTGCGCGGGGTGGGTCGATTTGACGTACTAAGGCCTTTGATTTCTTGATATGCTCATGTCGGAAAAGGAACTGACGATTGAGATTGCTCAAATCAATAGTATCGAGGTCGATAATGTGGATTTCGCCGAACCCGGTGAGGACGAGGTTTTTCAGCAGCTCGCAGCCGATGCCGCCTGCGCCGACGAGAAGAACGCGTGACTATACGTGATGAGAGAACTGTCAGAATATATTTTCAAACCAGCGTCACTTGGACTTCAGAATGGCACGCCAGCAGGGTTGTCCTTACGTCTTTGAGGGAGCGGGTGAGGTCCACCCCAAGGGAGCGCTTAATGGAGCTATCCCGCATGGCGGGTAGTAGATGATGATCGCGGTCAGGGGGTATGGTAATGTGGTAATGATGTAGTGTTGTGCTCTAGAGATAAATTGCGAAGGGGAAAACGATCAAAGGGGGACAAATGTAAAGCAAGTGAAAGAAGTTGAGCCGGAAACAGTGACCGTTTGGCGATGACGGCACTTTGCTAGGAGCCTCACACGTGGGTTTCCACTTACTTCAGGGCTTTCGACTTTGCACTTGATACCTTCTTTTACATTTATTTCATGAGAGAAATAAAACATACATTTGATATAGAGTGCAATTGACTGTATTCTGATATTTTCTGTGTCTTTGTTTTCCATACGGCAATATACACAGCGCATATGCACCCTGATCGCCTTTCTTCTATAACATATGTAATATCGGATGAACTTGGGTTTAATCCCAAAATAAAAGTTCACATATGGTTTCATAGTGACGATGCTTTCCATATATTCTTCTATCAAGTACTAGGTAGTCCAGACCTGCAGAACCTGTGTTACTATAAACTATAACTCACAGCCTTTCTTGTGCTTATAACGAGTATCAGTACTAGATAAAAGTCAATATCACTTGCCTACACCACCCCCATATCTGAGAGCTTTTCAGATACATTATGGGTGTACCTGGTTCCAGAGGGCTATTGTACCTGCTTACATAACGGGTGACTCTATCCAGAGGCTATCGGGTCAAAATCTCGGTGTGGCGAGAAAAAAAACAACAGGTCTGTTCAAGTATTTTTATATCGCACCTTTGCTTGCCTCAAAAGATTGGAATATACAGGTGGGGTGGAATATCTGCCGGGTTTAACTTCTCACCGCAGGAGTCCTATATCAAAGAAGATACCCCTGACTCCATATTTTCCCATTTGTCCGTTTGTTTTCAATCAAGATCAAACAAGAAGAAAAATATCATGCCATCACTGGACCCAATTCTGGCCCAGAAAAATGATCAGGTCGAAGCAAATTCTGACGATGAAGCCGATCCTGAGTTGGTAGAGCTTCTTCGCCAGCATTTTGGCATGGGCGCAAGGCCAAAGGATGCCCCACCAGAGACCAGAGTGCTTGAGGGGGCTCAATATGTCTTCGATAATGCAATTGACATTGCGGTCAGCCTGGTTCACACCAAAGAGGCTGCCGAAACTATATGGCGTATGATGCAGAAGAAAGAGTATTCCACACACACCTGGTCGGAGCACGAACTGCACCCAAAGACCAAAGATGAGAGCACAGTCGACTTCATCTTCACAATGGACTTGTTGAACTTTAGTTTCTGGTCTGAGGAGGAAGAAGAGCCAAAACGTTTCTGCATTGAGTATCGTGGCAAGCTGTGGACTGGCTATTGGAGTCTGGTTGCTGCACTGCAAAGAGCTCTTGATGAAGGTGAGTTCCCTGTTTGGATCCTACTTCCAGAAGGACGAATGCTTACCCCAAGTTCAGATATTCCAATCACAACCCCGGACTTCTGGGTGGATGAAGAGAGGTGCACGGAGGAGCTGCTCAGACATGTATTCCGATCTGCAACAGATGGCGAGATTCCTATGTTCAAAGAACGAGTGCAGTGTCTACGTGAGGCAGGCGAGGTCCTTTGCGAGGTATCATCTCTTATCACCTTGGATATATGGGTCACACTAACCGGATACAGGAATTCGGCGGCAGCTTCGCCAACTGCATTGACAGTGCCAATCTCTCTGCCGCAGGGCTGGTCAATATATTAACAGAGAGCTTTGCCTGCTTCCGCGACGAGACAATCTTCCACGGAAAGAGAGTGCGACTCTACAAACGTGCTCAGATCCTAGTTGCCGATCTCTGGGCCTGCTTCAATGGCGAAGACTTTGGTGAATTCCACGACATTGACAAAATTACCATGTTCGCAGGTACGGCTCTTACAATTTTCGCCACTCCCTCAACCCCATTCTAACCATATATCCTAGACTACCGCATTCCGCAGATGCTACACCAGCTAAACTGTGTTCGCTACGCACCTAAATTGGAAAACCATATCCGCGACCTGAAGCCCATTGAGCCGGGCTCAAATTGGGAGATCGAGCTTCGTGGAGCGAGTATCTGGTGTGTTGAGTTGATCAAACGAGAGATTGAAAAACAACACCCTGAGGTCAAAATGAACCGCCAAAATCCTCCTTCCAAGGATATTGCAGGCGACAACGAGAACCACCAAACCGAAAAGTTGGATGACTCGGATGAGAATATGAAGATTGTAGAGAAACCGCGAAAGACATATGGCATCAATGCGATCCTCATCGACTTTTTCTTGTACGACACGATGAAGAACCTAGAGGCAGAGAAGAATGAGTCCATTCCCCATCACCGGACGAGGAGCATTTGGTACTAAAATGAGTGGTTATTGGTTTTGGTGTCATTGATGGCGCATGGAGTTGGGTTGCCACAATGGTAACTTGGGGCATTGGGTTGATCTGGAGCAAAGGAGCATACAATCAGAACATAGACATGGTGAAACTGATTTTTTTTGCTTATCAAGAACGAATATAGAAATTGCATGTTGATTTATATCTTAGGGTATCAATTAAACTAGCAGGCTGCGTCCCCTTTCAAATAATCTCTCATCGCATGACAGCGATCAAGCAGCTGCACCTTCAATGCGAGCCATGATGTCCGCTTTCCAATTCACATAATCCTCTTGACGATCATCACTCAGCCAGTCAACTCGATCTTGCATCATTGTCCCCAGGCCAGGCAAAAGACCGCCCCGCGGAGCCTGATCTGACTCTGAGACACGAGCCCCACTGCCAGCCGCTGAACGTTTAGGCGGCCTAACACCCCTAAGTGTCGCATCTTCTTCATCCAGGTCTTGGTAGGACCTGCCTTCCTCATCTTCACCATAGAGCTGTCCAGCATAGGGGATATTCTCGAACCATTCCTGGCCGTTGGCCCACCCTTGCTCCATGATAAGAGTGATCCATTGATCAACGTCATCGCGATGCCTCCGGTCATTGGCCTTTAGGCCAAGGCTGTTCAATGCCGTCTGACGCATTTCAATAAAAGTCTTCTTGTCCATCTTCTGCGCTTCGATATCGGCCTCTGCATCGGGCCCGGGGTTACGCCGACGGGCAAGCACAAGGAAGTATACAGCCACAGCCATAGCGTAGACCAGTTCTTTGAAATCATCGTCCTTATCAGAGCCATTGATAGACACAATAGGCTCCAGGAAATCCAAGCTCTCGCGGTCCCATCCCGGTTCGTCGTTGGACATGCTCGACGTAAGATAGAGGACGGACGACACGCCAGAGAAGATATGCGGAGGCAGGGTCCTCGAAATTGGAGGCCTGGACCAAGTATTTGTGCGTGGGGCAGGGGTCGAGAGAATCTTGCATACAGTCCGAATGGCCGTCATTACCCAAGCCGGGGCATCTGGAATGATAGTTGACCCGGTGATATCCTTCATTCGGGGGACTGTAGCCTTTCTTGCCGATTTCGAGGGACTTTCGAGCCGGTTTGCCGTGCTCATACTTCGTTTCAAGGGTGTGGATTTCGAAGGTGTATTTTGTAGTCCTCGTAGTGTTGGTGCTGCCTTGGAAGGGGTGTTCCTGGCTGCCGCGCCCTTCGTCGGTGTGGTCTGCGCTGAGCCGGCGCGTGAGGGTGTTCCGGGAACCGATCCGCTTGCTGAGCGTTTGTGACCAGCCGAGCTTGCTGCCAGAGATCGGTCGAGGTATGAATAAAGCTTTTTGTATATGCGCGGAGGACATGGCGGATGCCCGAGCAGCGGAGGAAGTTTCAGAGTTCGGGTCAACCTATGAAATTCAGACACAAGCAATTAGCATCAGCCATAGAAAAATCTCATTCAGGAGCTGTGGCACACCTTTTGCAAGCGATTTCCGCGCAGGCATATGGTCGAGCAATTTCCTCTTCCGGCTTCAGACTGCTGGAGAAGCTCCGGGACTGTGCCACTAGTGACATTGCATAGCTGAGTAGTTCTTGTGGGAGATCGTTGGCATGAGTCGGCACCAATGTGCTCAATGCCTGTTCCACCGGCCGATTGTTCATTGTTCTTAATGTTATGGATCAAGTCGGCTTTGCCTGAGGAAGGAGCCAGGTAGAATACCGCCGTGCTAAAGCAGGACAAGAATGGTTGGGAAGGCAAAAAGCAAACGATAGTCCCCGAGAACTTTTCGGCGTATTTAGATTTCAAATTGAGCCAACTGTGTCTGAATTGAAGGGATCGGACTGACAACCAAACATCTGCAATCGCCCGGCGCATCGATAAGGAAAGTATGACTAAGCACTATATTGGGGGCTCGGGGCTCGGGGAACCTCGATGCCGCATCTGGTCCTCTTGCACTTTAGTATCACCTCACAGAATCCCCTCAATATGTCTGTTACAGTAAGTTTACATATTAATACAGCTTTAGGATCTATCTGCAGCTCCTCTTTCTATAGCATGATGCTAACCGCAGCTTCAACAGTTACATACTACCCAAGGCGACCTCAAGGTCGAGCTTTTCTGCGAAGCAGTACCTCAAACCGCGGAGAACTTCCTCGCCCTTTGCGCGTGCGGTGCATACAATGACACCCCATTTCATCGCCTCATCCCGGGATTCATGGTCCAGGGCGGAGATATCTCTCTCGGCCCCGCCGCGCATCAAACCAGTACGAAACCAATGCTCGATTTCGAGATCCCGAAAGGCGGCACATCGATCTACCACCCGGCAGCAATGAACCAAGAAATCCACCTCCCGACGCTGCGACACAACGCGCGTGGCATTCTATCTATGGCATCGCGTCCGGTGAAGGACAGGACAGCGCCTGGCTCTCAGGGCGCAACGGGCGCAACGATCAACGGGAGTCAATTCTTCATTTCTTTCGTGCCGGCGCCTCATCTTGATGGCGCCAGTACCGTGTTTGGGAAGGTGTTGAATTTGACCCCTCAGGACGAAGGCGGTGATGTTCTTGCCAATCTCGAGAAGGCGAATGTTAAGGTCGACAGGAAGGGCAAAGTTTCTCAGCCCAAGGAGGGTGAAGATTTCGAACCATTCAAGATCAATAACGTTACTATCCACGCCAACCCATTTGCGAAGTGAATCATTCACACTTGAACGCTCTGATGAAAGCTGGATGATATCCCAGGATCGAACTCTGAGAGTCACGCTCAGGATGAACACAGCTACTAGCTCAAGCTGGAGAGGCTCTTGGAATACTATCATGTGAAGCCCAAACCTACTCGCTCCCCGGTCATCCGAGCCTCTCTCTGCTGAGATTATCGATCTGTCTTGCCAGCAACATTGTGTGGCACCGTAAAATACGGTAGACTCTCTTAGAATTACTGCCAAGAAGTGCATCAAACAAATGGATCGGCACATTTTGATGACGAACACTTGCTGGCAAACGCTGGGCGTGATTAGATCTACTCGAAGGATCAAAAGAACGCAAAGAGATGGGAAGGCGAACTATATCGAGGTATCAAACATATCCACCAGTGTCAATTATTACCATAACACTTGAATTAGATCACCGAGATTCGAAAGAATATTTAAATACAAAGCAACCACTGATTACTATTTATAAACCTCTCATTCCATCCAATTGTGTCCAACCCTCCCCAAGGCGAAATAAATCCTGCAAAATTTTAACCTGCAGTTCTACTTTTGTCTGATCTGACTGCGCCGCATAATTTAAGAATGACAGAGCCGAACATGACATCATGAACCGAAGGATTTGGACGTTTGTTGGCGCCGCTGCATTTCCAAGATACGCCTCCACAAAATCCTTTGTGCTCTCCTGCATCTCCTGTCGCGTAAGGCCGTACTGTTCGCCCGTTCGTCGCAGCATATGCATAAAGTGGCCGAGATCTCGTTCCGGTACCCCAACCGGCTCACCGTTCTCGTCCAGAGAACAGTGTAGCGTTGTCGTGTCGATCATCGTGACATGCCCCGTCGCGCGGTCATAGAAGAAATTTCCAGGATGGGCATCCCCGTGCACGACAGTGGTGCGCGGACGACTAGCAATATCCCGCTTGCAGTCGGCGATGAGTTGATTCATTTTCTCGGGGAGCTGGTCCACTTCGAGTCCCGCGGCGCGAATAATGTCTTTGTGCAGCAATGCCTGCTGGACTCGTTTCGTCGCCGCGTTAAAATACCACTCAAGATACTCTGTGCCTGGTCGTCCTTCAACACTGTGAGTGTGTAACCTGGCCAAGGTACGTGCGACTGCCTGCACGCCAGCGATGAAGACGGATAGCATATCTCTTCTCGCAGGTCCCGGCGGGAGGCGGCCCAGCTGCATCATGAGCTGATAAAGGGATACTCCGGGGGCAACTTGATACGTGACCACACCGGCTGGTTTGGTTTCCCACATTATCCGCCCGACAGCCAACGGGGCGGCAGTTTTGATGTCACCCTTGGTCTGTAAAAGAAGCCATTCAAGACTTGACAACTCCTCCGTGATACCGTTGTCCAAGCCGTGGACGAACAGTTTAATTACAGCAATCACGCGGCCTTTGGGGTCATTTGATGTCAGTGATATCTCTCCGTTGGAAAATTCATCGTTGGCATAAGCAAAGAAGATGATAGCACCAGAAAAGCCACCTGGGTGAGTAGGATCCAAACTTCGCAAATTGACAGGGCAGCCCACAGCTGCAGAGACATGCTCTTCTAGCGCCGAAATAGTCGGGGCTATCTCTGGAAGATTTTGCATGACTTCGTCGGCCTGCTTCAAGGTCGGGTTTCCACTGCGGTTTCGCGTTCGTGCGGCTCGACGCATTGACGACACAACGCTCATCCCAAGTGATGGACGAGGCCATGATGAATATGCCGGTGCAATACTACCATGAGCCATCTGTACTGTATCTCCCTCGCCCTCCATCGCGGAGCGAAGCAGCGCCTTAGCGGCATGTTTCCACGAATAGCCTCGCATGATCCGCTGTAGAGAACGAGCATGCCGTCTCGTTTGCTCTGGGTAACATCTCACCTGGTCGATCCGATGAGCCCAGACGGCTACGCGCTGGCTTGTCGCTGAAGGGACAATTCCATATGTGCTCTCATCCATCACCACACAGGCCTGACCAAGATCTGGCGGAATGCGACTGCGATCAAGCGCAAACTGGCCCGCACCGCTTTCCTGGGTCACTAGGATTGGAACACCCAACCCGGCGACTTCGGTGAAGATCATCCCGAATCCCTCGTGCATTGAGGGCATTATGACCAGGTCCGCGTTGCAGTAGAACCGCGATACCGCGTTAGGGTCATCAGAGAAAGGGTGCAACCTGACGAGGTCTGGCATGCCTGTCATCTCATCGACGACCTGTTGCCAGCGCTCCACGTCTTCTGCCGGGAGTCCTAGTACATCCAGGGAGATATCGTTGCCGGAGAGTGCGATCTTGCGCACAGCGTATACAGCATCATCTAAACCTTTGGCGGGATCGTCTGCTCGACCAGCGAGGAGGACCCGAAGTAGGTCGTTCGGTTGTCTCTGTTGCGTGCAAGCGTCACCGGTGCGCACGCCTGGAACCAATTCATGGAAGCGAGGTCCCATCATGTTTGATCGTGGGCGATTGCATTGGCCCATCCACTCGCGCTCGCGTGCCTCGGTTGTGAGTACAGGCCCGACCCCAACGGCCAAATCTGCTTTAGGGAGAATCCTCTCATCGAGCATTGCCAGCCGAGCGGCTTCAACATAGCCTAACTCACGTGTCTGTCCGTACCACTTCCACGCCACGTCGGACTTGCGTAGGGCACTGGTATGTGTGATGAGCGCGAGCTTGGCTGTAGGATACCATCTCTCGCGGATCAAGGACGCTGCGGTGCTGGAGTATCGCGAGTGGCCAATGATGAGATTGAATGGGCATGGATGCTGGTCGTCTAGAATTGGCAGATCATAATCTCCTGGCTGGTGTACCTTCGCCACGTGGTAGAGCAAGGCACTTGGGTCGTCTCCTCTAGAGGGAATGCAGACCACTTTAGCCCGGCCATGTCCCAACGATGTCAATTTGTGTTTGACTTCATTCTCAGGCTCTACCATGAACAGAGTAACTGATGCATTGGGGATTTCCGACATGGCTTTGACTAGTTCTTGATTCAACAGAGGCAGACCTCCTTTACCAGGCCCGCTGGCATTGGCAACGACGAGCACTCTCCAGGGTTGGACCCTTTCGGGTGAGATATTAACAAGGCGTTCCCATTCAAATTTAACCTTTTCGCTGAGCTGGACAGCCTTATGTTCATCACGCGATGTATCTTGCTTGTCCACGGCAGACCATAGTCGAGACAATTGGGTACGTGTTTTGAACAACCGGGCAAGCCCTTCGTTGATTGGTATACCCTGCGCCTGGTATGATTTCCAGAACTCACCCTGAACCTGGCCAATATCAGTTTCACTCATTCCGAAATCCCCGGCATACTTTCGCAGTCGCTCGTGAAACCCAGCCGCATCCATTTCTGCCGGCCCAATAGGTCGGCCGCTCGCATCCATTGAACGAGTCAGTCCTCCGTAGTCGATCATGGTGATTCCTTGAATAGGGTCCCAGAAGAAATTTCCCGGCGAGGCATCACCATGCAGTAGTGACGCTACACCTTCTTCCCGCGAATAATCAATTGCCCGGTCGACCAATGAGGCGAGTTGCTGTATTTGATCGGATCCGATAGCGCGTTCATACTGCGCTCGCGATGGGCCCTGGATCTCTTGGACCCAGCCTTGTAGCTTGTTGCGGAGCCTGTCGACAACAGACTCGCTGACGCTGCTCCATTCTGATTTTTCCTGGTGCAGCTTGGCCAGTGTTGATGCTACTCCTTTAACGGCGGAAATCAAGTCGGCCATCAGTCCGTTGAATTGACAGTCCAAAAGCTCAGCGGTTGTGATATTAGATGATTGGGTTTGATGTGATTCATGAGAGACTGAGATGCCATGGAGTGCGCCGCGAATAATATCATTCATCGTTTCTTTTGTTTCGTCGGGACAAGGTTGCTTTGCGATCAGTCGGAGCGTGGAGACCCGACCGATGTCACGGATGATTGTGTTGATTGCCTTACCTGGTGCGAGCTGGTAGACAATCACTCCCATAAGCTCTGCGGTGTCCTCATCGCGCGTCCTTCCAACTCCAAGCGGCCGAGCAGCAGACGGTGGATCAGAAAGAGAGAGCAACCTCCGGTATGCAACGAGTTCTTCGAAAAAGTCTTTATGACATGCTGGTGGATATACCTTCGTGACGGCGACAGTTTTTTCTGGGTGGGTACTGTCGCGAACGAAATATATGGAACAGCCGGATTGGCCTTCTGCCCCGGATGCTTGAAGACGGTGCAGCTGGACGGAGTGGCCGAGGACAGATTCAACGATTGCAGTGACGGAGCCGGTCTCGGGTAATGCAGTCAATGTGAAGTTGCCGTCGTCTTCTTGTCGAATGGTGAGCTTGTCGAGAGTGGTTGGCAAGACGCCATCCTCGAGTCTAGCGCACTCCAAAGCGGCCATTCTATTGGAGTAGAAGGTTTGAATGGAAGGACAGAGCACAGGAGGAAAAAGAGGATCTCAATGTATTATTCAGTCTCATTAGACTATAATCGGCAAAATGGGATATCTCTCAACTCAAGATCGAAATACGCAGATCAGACTACGAGGATCGACATAATACTAGGATCTTTCCTCAGCCGTGCCACCTCATGCAACATACGGTGGATCTCGGTGTGACTGGGCCGAACTTCAGCAGAAAGGATATGCTGCCTGCATTATGTCCTCGCGTTCGGGTGGGGAGCGTCACATAGTTGGCGTCTATTAGGGTAATACTCCGTACATACGGAGTACATATGTAGCATTCAGCTACCAGCATGCCCCACATCTTTTGTGGCTAAATATATAGGTTCATGCGGATAAGTCCGGCTTTCCATAGCCCCAATGCAGGCTAGTTCTGATACAATCAATGGCTGAGTGGCTGAAGACGTGATGAGCGCAGGGAGCTAGCTACAGATCATATATCAGGTACTTGGGTGTGACGTTATTGGAAGTCCAAATGATTGATTTACGGGGATGAATAACTAAACGGCAGGTAGGGGGGGGGGGGGGGGGGGTTATCAAATACGCAATACCAAGCTCCTATGAGTACAGCTACAAGTATCAAATCAGCGTCTATCCAGCTAGCCACGAAATGACACCAGGACATTTTAGCACGCGCCTGGCAGTGAACAAGCCATAAACAAGCCATTGTGTCCATTCTTCGGTGGCAAGCTGATATGTATATTGATCAATAGCGTGAAGCTTATAAATTACTATCGTATTGAGAAGAACTGTGGAGTCGAGAGAACAAATCGGGATCGAGTGGTTAGAGCCAAGAACCTTGAAAAGGATAGACTCACCTAGAACCATGGTTCTTCCCGCCTTTCTTACCTTAAGTCATCCCATCATGCAGCCCTGGAGTCTTGAAGATACTCCGTACAATTCAAATATTATAGATTTCAACTAGAATAGAAGAATGATAGCCTATTACCTGATGCTCCGTACTGCAAGTTCGATTCAATATACACATGGGATGTGACAAGTTGTGGGGTATGTATTTTTCTGCACATAAGCACCATGTAAATTACAATTGTCATGTCCCACATGCATGTCTACCATTTGGGCAATGTACGCCTTCTCATTGTAGAATAATTACTCCGTACACGTTCCGACATTGGTATGTGAATTGACTGTGACGGATAATAAACTGGTACGACATACTCCGTACTCTGCGTGTATAGGCAGACATGGGCAGACAAACTAAAACAAAAACCGATGGAGAATCGAAGTGAACTGGAATTAAAACCTGTTTATCTTCAATCCAGCTGCAGTAATCCGTCCATAGCGTGGTAATTTATCAAATCCTTACAGATAAATGACAAGGAGTGGATAATAATATGATCGTTCAATTCAACCAACTTCAGCTGTTAGAGCCAAATCATCCCATGGATCGTATGGAGTACTATCAAAATGTGGCAAAATTATCTTTATATGAAATTGAACCAGATAACAAAAGAGCATATGGTGTAGGTACTTGAAACTATTGCACACAGATTGAATAAGTGTGTTTTTGATGGCAGCATTGGGCTAATATGTGTTGGACCTAATTAGGTAAATCCATATATACATCTCTCTCGCTCTTTCCGATTTGAGATCTATGACTATTCCACCTTTTTTTTTCTGTTCGTCATACGGTTTGCCTAGGTACATCTTCAAAATTAAAGATAAAGTTGAATGCCTGAAAAGAGTGGGTCCTGATGGTGATCCCCCGAGTATCTCCGCATAGAACTAGGCAAGAACTAGGCACATCATTGAGCACAAAGATCCACAATATCGAGGTTGGAAGCAAGGTATAATTTGCATTTAAGATCTCTTCAATTTGTACCTAAGGATTTTGTCCTCCGTACAAGTTAAGCGCGTATACCGAAAATATCAACATGTACGGAGTAGTATAGATACACGAGTTCCGAGGCTAGTGACCTTGGCACGATCTTCACATCAAACATGCATCGATGTGCAACACAACCTTCGAAGCTGCAAAATTACTAGCCAATACAGTGGCGTTACTAGTCTTAATCCGGTGCTCCACTGATAGACAGCATCGTCACAATTGGAATTTGGGCACACGACAGCTCAATTGTGAACTTTCAGCTTTCAATTCCACAGCCAACACCCCACATGTGAGGGCAAGCACATACCTTCTCCGGGAAATTCCCATTCTTACTATCTCAATCGCCCGGTCGAAGTCAACTTTAGGATTCAGAGTCTCCGATTATCAAGAGCTTGTGGTCATGGATTCGGCTATCGCTACGCATGAATTGCTCCAATATCTTCGCTTTGGATATCCCCCAATTCTGCTAGCGATTCTCTTCGTCGTCTTCTTGGTTCATTCATCCCAGGTAGCGAAAAATAATGCCGGACGGAATACCAAAGTGCAGTATGGCCCCGGTGGGAAACCACTGCCTAGGCGAAACCGAATTATGATGGCGGTAGCCAGAGACTTGCCCGCGGAGCTTGCGTTGAATAGATCCAAAAGCTGGTTTGTTTGGTTAAGTCTTTTCGTGTTGGCAACCTATATTGCAGAGGCAGCTATTCATATGACACATGCCTTGATCTCAAAGTCAGAACAGTGGTGGTGTGGTCAAGCGGTGGTGGTGAGACTAGTGTTTCTTTCTAAGATTGAAATCAAAGCTAATAAAAAACAAGGTCTTTGTCGTTGGGTCTTTCTTCACTCATACCGTCATCTTCATCTCTTTACTCGATTCGAGCCCTGCGCCATCAATCGCCCAATTCATCCCATGGCTCTCGGCCATTCCTTTCGAAGTAGCAATTCTCTCGACTTCCATCTCAATATATTCTCATACCCACCGTGAACCCACAATCGAAGATCCATTCGGTGGAAGATTGCGCACGAAAATCACATTCTGGGAGGCATTGGAGATTTCCGCAAGCTCTGCGCGGGTTTTTGTTCTCACGCTGATGATCGCGTCCTACATTTTCAAATCTGCCCGCAAAAATCGCGGTTTCAAGGATGCCGAAAATGCCAATGCCGCAGAGACGACCAGCCTGCTGGATTCAAGAGGCAATGCCAATTCGGATGACAGCGATGCCTTAACCGATGGTCAACAGACCCCTGCAGTAGAAGCTTGGGTCCGGCCTTTGACGACCCCCTCCACTAATTGGATGGAATATCTGAGTGGCTATTCCTTATTCTTTCCATATCTGTGGCCTTACAAATCTGTCCGGTTGCAAGTTGTCGTCGTCATCTGCTTTGGTATATTAATTGTGCAGCGAGCGGTCAATATCCTAGTCCCATATCAAGTGGGAGTGATCGCAGACTCATTGTCGACTAGTGATGGAACTCTACAAGTGCCTTGGATGCCCATCTGTTTGTATATCCTCTACCGCTGGCTTCAGGGTAGCCAAGGTTTCCTTGAGTCAGTTCGTTCGAATCTGTGGATTTCAGTCAGCCAGTATGCATACATGGAGTTGTCAACCGCTGCATTTGAACATGTTCATAGCCTAGGACTGGACTTTCACCTGGGTAAAAAGATGGGCGAGGTCCTTTCTGCTCTCACCAAAGGCAGCTCAATTAACACTTTCCTGGAGCAAGTGACCTTTCAAGTGCTGCCCATGTTCATCGATTTGGCCATCGCCATCGGATATTTCCTAGTCGTATTTGATGTGTACTACGCATTGGCTGTGGCTATCATGACATTCTTCTATCTCTATTCAACTATCAAAATTGCCTCTTGGAGAGCCAACATGCGACGTCAAATGGTGAACGCTTCTAGACAAGAAGACGCTGTCAAGTAAGCTTCCTTTCCCGTTTCCCTCTCTGCTCCGTGGGGCTTTACTGATATAAGCAGGAATGATTCTCTCGTGTCCTACGAAACTGTCAAGTACTTCAATGCCGAGGAATACGAGTTCAATCGTTATCGAGGGGCTGTCTCGGACTACCTCCGGGCGGAATGGCATTCACTCTTTGCACAGAATCTGATGAATATTTTCCAGAATGTCATCTTTATGCTTGGCCTTCTAATCACCTGTTTCATTTGCGCCTACCAAGTCGCTCGCGGTCAACGGGCAGTCGGCCAGTTCGTGACTCTCCTTACCTACATGGCCCAGCTCCAAGCCCCATTGAACATCTTCGGGACCTTCTACCGATACATTCAATCTGCGTTGATCAATGCGGAGCGTCTCCTCGAACTATTCCGCGTCCAACCCTCGGTGGTGGATGAACCGTCTGCAACACCGCTAGCAGTTTGCCACGGCCGAATCACATTTGACGATATCCAATTCTCATATGACACACGAAAGCCTGCTCTCAATGGATTGACCTTTGACTGTAAGCCGGGTACAACCACTGCTCTAGTAGGAGAATCAGGCGGCGGAAAATCGACAATATTCCGCTTGCTCTACAGATTCTACAATCCGAACGGCGGAAGCCTTTCCATTGACGGACACGACACCCAAACCTTGACAATTGATTCCGTTCGAAGACACATTGGGATCGTCCCGCAAGACACAGTTCTGTTCAACGAAACAATCATGTACAACCTCAAATACGCCAACCAAGATGCCACTGACGAGGAAGTCTATGAAGCCTGTCGCGCAGCTAGTGTTCACGACAAGATCATGGCTTTCCCCGATGGTTACGAAACCAAAGTGGGAGACCGTGGACTGCGACTCAGTGGTGGTGAGAAACAGCGCGTTGCAATTGCCCGAACCATTATCAAAAAACCTCAGATCATCTTGCTTGACGAGGCGACGGCTGCATTGGACTCCGAGACGGAACAAAACATCCAAGAAGCACTATCTGTCTTGTCGCGTGGACGCACTGTGCTCGTCATTGCCCATCGACTGAGTACCATCACCACTGCTGATAACATTGTCGTATTGCACGAAGGTCGTGTCGCAGAAAGTGGGACCCATGAGCAGCTGCTAGCTGCTCACGGTCGATATACAACCATGTGGCAGAAGCAGATTCGTGCGCAGACTGAATCTGTGGGGTTGGAGGTCTTGTCGGGCAAGATATAGATTTGTATACTCGGAGATCATTCAGAGGACTATATATATGTGGTATAGAGTTGCCTTGCCTGTGGAGAAACAAAGGCCTGCAGAACTGATTTTGTGTTTAAGGGAAACGTTTTATTGGGTATTGCTGGAAAAAGTTCAGATGAAGATCAGTCAATGCTTAATCCTAATGCTTTAATCTATTTCTTGGAACGAATTCGACCATTTGAGCGTGAAATTCGCCCAGTAAATCTAAAGCTCAACAAACCTGACTAAGAATCAAGAGGAAATAATGAAAATCCACGGAGTCCTTCGGAGTACTTCGGAGCTGAATTGTGCATCCAATGTGACCAATGAACTCCAGCTCCCAAATGGCCTGGTGGCGCAGTAAGTCGAGGGCCCATATGCAGGGGTGTATTATGTTTGGAAGGTCACAGGTAACACAGGGAATAATATTCAATTGCTTTTTGTTTTGAAGTGGATTGCCTGTAATGTGATAGCTCGACTCTTTGTACAAACAATATATTAGCATCGATCAATGCAGGATGAACCCTAAATATGTCTTATGTACATACTTCATATGCATCCTATGAGGTCCACAGTCTTACAGGGTTTCAGCCCATTGCCACCTGTATCACTCCGTACACGAGACAATTTCCAGTATTTTTGCTGACTCTGCATGATCTCGATTTCTTTAATGTCACGAGCGTCAACATCGGGTTTAAGGGTTTTTCGAACAAGAGTACTTTTTGTAATATAATTCTTGGAGACTTTGTAGGACATTATTCTACTCTGCGCAACAAAGCATTCAACCCTCATTGAATTTCTTTCCCTTGTGAACATATCATTATCTGCCCATGGAACGCATTCTTTGGCTTGATAGCCTCCGGGGTATCGCCTCAGCTTTGGTAGTGATACATCATTCAAAGAGCTCCGAGCCCAAGAGTATCATTGGCTTTTTGACCAGGTCTTATTGGGATGAACCTGCTGAAGAGAACCGTCGTCTTATCCAGCTCCCGCCCTTCCGACTTCTCTTCAACGGTCCATCAATGGTGGCATTGTTCATGGTTATATCGGGCTATGCGATATCTCTTCCTTTACTCCGATGCCGAGAGGATATTGGGGCAAGTAACTCTGGGTTCTTTCGTCGATTATGCTCTGCTGCAACTCGCCGAATCTTTCGAATTTATCTGCCATCTATCGCCATACTGTTTGTCAGCCAGTTTGTGTACTTTTGCAATGTATTTCAGTGGAAAGCTGCGGATGACTGGCTAGGTGGACTAAAGCCCTTGACAGCGCCATGGGCCCATATCCAATATGTCCTTTCGAGGATAGTGCATCTGCTCGATATCAGCAACCATCAAGTCGATATTAATTTTGATCACAACCGACCGGATATGAGAACCATAAACTACCAGCTGTGGACCATGCCAATTGAGTTCCGTGGCTCGTGTGTTGTCTACTTGTTACTCTTGACATTTTCATTTTGGAGACCCCAGCCTCGGTATTTAGCATTGGCAGGTGTGGCGATGTATTGGTTTTATATGGGACATTGGGATCTCTTTGCTTTCGTTGCCGGCATTATTCTCGCAGAGAGACACGTCGCATCAGAGTACAAGCCTGACGGAGAGATTGCACTATCATACTCATCTTCACCTCTCGAGATTCAGAAGCCTCTTGCCAAAGCCTGGAGCAAACTCACGGAGAATATATATCTCCAACATCTTCGAACATCAGTCTCTTTCGTTCTAGGATTGTATTTCCTTTGCATGTGCGGCGCTGACCGGTTAGCACGGGAGTACCAATGGCTCATCGTGACTCAATCTCCCGAGTGGGATAATGCTGAAATGATGCCCCGGTGCTGGAGGAGCGTTGGAGCAGTTCTGATGATATATTCAATCAGCAAATCTGCGCTGCTTCAAAGACCGCTTAACTCACGGCCACTGCAATACTTGGGCAAAATCTCATTTCCGCTCTATCTAGTCCACCCGACAGTCTATCTTGCTCTCAAGTGGCCAGTTCGAGACTTTCTATGGTGGGCAGTTACAAGAACACCTTACCCTGGTACTATTGAGGCGAGCAAGCATGCTCTGCCGTTTTCTATAGCTTGGATGGGAACCATGCTCTTGTTGGGTGTTGTTATGGTGGTGGCATCTGAAATTTGGAATCGTTTCGTTGATATGAAGTGCATAGGGCTTGGAAGAAGATTCGAAAAATGGGTTTCATGTTAGCGATGTAGTGTCAAGAAAGGTCTACAAAGGAATGAAACCATGCAATCAGTAGCATTTGACGTGGCCTTCGCAGTACCCCTCCCCTGTGAACTGCCCTGTGAACTGTTTTACTATTAAGCAATGCACAATATATTAGACACAACAACTTTTATGACTTCATCCCTATATGCCCCCTTATGACAGAATATTCAAATGACCCCCGCAGAAAAATATCACAGACGCCGTTATGCAAGAACCCCAAAAGAATCAGATCATCCCGACTTTCATGAAATGGGTATACATCATAAATCCTTCCATTACTCCTTCTGAGTGGCCTCAGTCTCGGCCTCGGCCTCCTCATAGCCCTCGGTCTTCATGTCAGTCAGACCAAGATCATCTTCCTCCTCGGCAGAGCGAGTGTAGTCCTCGGTAGTGATCTGGTGGTCGATAGCTGGGCTGCAAAGATCTTGGACGTAAGAGGAAGCCATCGGGTCTTGCAATGTGATAGTGAACTTGAGCTCGCCGCTGATGGCCTGGTCGAGGCGATTGAAGAATCTTTGCCACTTATCCTTATCAGAAGAGACCATGCTGTCGCCTCCGGAGTGTGCGGAATCGTCAACATCGAAAATGGCACCCTTCAACTGATCCCTGATCTCAACTAGCAATCCTTCAACCGTGGTGAAACGACCACCGAGCGTTCCTGGCTGAACATCTAGGTCGAGCTCGGGACTGTAAAGTCCTGCTGAGTCACTCTTGAGAATATCGCGCGAGAGATCAACCTCGTTATTCACCTGGAGAGTGATACGCTTGCCTTTCTTGGGCACTTCGCCACCGGTCTTAATTGCAGACGATTTGTAGCCGCAGTGTCCACAGTTCGTGCCAAACAGCAGAACTTCCTTAAAGTAAGGAATGTTGACTTTCTTAATGTTGACCTCGGCTTCCTTATTACAACCGGGGCACTCGGCAGGAATGGAATAGACCTGGCCATCAACGATATCGAGATCATCTGGGTCTCCGGCATCGAACTGAGCTGTGTCCTCTTGGTTGACAGCGTTTGCGTCTGCGGAAATTCCCAGCTCCTCGTTCTGTTCGTGGGTACGCGGGTATTCGCGGCGCGTGTACTTGTTGCCACGATCAGTGCCGTTGGGCGCAATCCATGAATTTCCAGTGAGGTCATCGAGGGAGATGTTGAAGGGGAAAGCGTCCTCGCGTTTCAGGATCTTCTCAAGACTGTCGATGATAGGCACAAGGGATTTGTAAAGTTCAGGAGCTTGCTCCTTACGGAGATCTTGCTCTCCTGACAGACTTTCATGAATGAGTTGAACCACTGGAAATAAGAAGGTTAGCAGCTTGGAATCGATCTTTAGTGCATTGGTGGGTTTCACGTACTGCCTTCCACATTGGTCAGCTGGCCGGTTCCCTTGGGAACTTCGATCTCATTGCCGAGCTTAGTAGTCAGCTTGAAACCTGAAACATCGCTGCGGATGACTTGGCGCTAAAAGATCCAATTAGCTTGAGCAAGAGAAAAAGGTTCATAGCTGGAGATAGATACCTGGAGATCCTCCTCATTCTCGACCCTTAAAGTGTAAACTGTTCCACGCTCCTGGATCTGGCCGGCCGATTTGATCGAGTTGTTTTTGAGGAAGCAATGTTCACATTCGAAACTCTCCAGAATGATGTCTCTGAAGTAGGGGACTCGGAGCAAAAGCAAGCGCGTGACTCTAAAGGGAAAGTTAGCGAATGTGCAAGATATAAGAATTGATTAGAAACGAACCCTTGCTCATGGCAGTTCATGCAAAGTGAGTCTATTGACATCGCGCCGGTGTCCTCATCACGCTCCACAAGATCACCAGGCTTTTGGAATTGCGACTCGAACTGGGCCTCAAGGGCATCATTATCGGCTTTGTTGACCATTGTGTAGGATATGTGGAAAATTAAGAAAGAATGTAAAGTTCGAAGGGAGGTATGTAAAGAGGCAAAGAGGGAAGAACGTCCACGGGTATTGAAGCAAGAAATTCTTATCGCAAAAAAATTATCGGAGCCACGGGAACATTCCTTGCTGTTCTGCGCGGGGCAAGTGGGCTGAGGGGCTGACAAAGAGGGGGATGAGGTAATCCTTTCTGCCATATTATGTATCACCGCCCTATGAGTAAGGGCAGGCGGTGAGAAGATGTGACTTATATGACGTCCCTACATGGGTATGGATGTATAATGTACATTATGCATTGTGCATGAATCTATTCTGTACCTAGCTTGCAATGTGGGTTCATGTCTCCAATTTCCTTTGGATCTTCCGTATCCACTCAAACATCAGAATCTGCACATCTAGGTAGTTAGCATCATCTTGGAATAGAGAGTTTGGGGCTTTTCGGGGGCACTTATAAGAAAAAAAAGTGGCCGTTTCTACCACCAAGGTAGTAGAAACGGCAGTCCACCAACCATCGCCTGGCCAAAACATTCTGCTCCCATGTAAAGAATCATCATTGACACAACGTCCAGCTCCCAATGACAGTACAATAGTTCCTTGGCGGTTCAGAGATCGCCGGATTTCTCGTTCGTCGCTTTTCAGTTCACCCCAGTCAGACAATAGGGACGAGCCTCGGCCAGGAACGCATAGCAGCAGATGGGCATCGTAGACAAGCCAAAGCTTTGATCCTCACTCGAGAGAGGTCCCACAACACCCACTGCATGAAGCATACACGTTAGAACCGACCAAGGACATCGGCCCCATGCCGACTAGGAATGGGCTGATAAGTCAAAGCGTTCGAACAATAGAAACCGTACGTTTCTCCGACCAGAACAATTGCGATCGAT